TTTAGAACAATAGAAAGGAGACTAACTATCTATCTATCTGTGAAATTAAACCCATTTTTTTTCCTGTTAAACACAAAAAAGCAGTTTCCAACATTCTTCAAAAGATCTTTTGAGTTTAGCAGAAGAATCTAAAGCAGTTGATGAAATGATGACAGAACTGTCATTTTTGAGTGAACTATCCCTTTATACAAACAGAAAGAAAACTGTGTTTCTGCTTCAAAAACTCTTGCATCAACTATTTCCCCACTCATTTCCTGCTGCATGTTTTAAAAGCGAGCTAATCTCTCATAGTTTATCTTCATTCATCTCAAACTGTGCTTCTCACACTCTATCGCCCAAGCATGCGCTTCAACACTCTACTTTTTTCTCTTTTGTATCTACAATGAAGGAAGAGTTTGTCACAAGCTATGATTAGTCTGTTCCAGAAAAAAATTAATTAAAAAGTTTGCATTAACAAATAATTTACAAAAGTTTATAGGCGTATTTGGTGTGGTGTTAGAGGACTCTGAGCTCAGAAGGACACTTAAACTCATGTTAGTCCAATTGTCAGGAGAGACTGGGGAAAAACTGTAATAAGGGCTTGTTCTACACTGGGAAAAAAAGGTAAATTGTTGCAAACAAACTATATGGGCTGAATTTACACAAATTAAAATGAGTAATGTTTAAATTAAAAACTTACCTTAAAAAATGAGTTAATTCAATGAATTATTTTGTTCAGTGTAGTGCTGATTTGATAATTATATGATTGACAATGATTAGCACTGTCAATGATCTGCTTATGCTGATGCCAACATTTGATTATAAATCTAATCTTATTAATAACCTATAAATGTGTGTTTCTATTAAGAGACAGAAGTAGTATTGTGGTGCTGCACAGTGATGATTCTGTGCCAGTGCTGAATGTGATTGTAAAAATATTGTGAAATGTGTGATTACAGCAGCTCAAGGTCATCAGACTGATAGGAAGACGTGCAGCTGCACGGAAACTTCTGTTTCCCATGAAACGAAACTGTTTTTTGAAGAAGAGGTTTCTCTTAGAGACTGGGACTTTTTACATGCTGAGACCATAATATGTTTTTTTTTTTTTTTTTTGAATTATGTATAGTGTAGTATAAACTACTCCTGATGTGAACAAATCTCAGAAGTGTTCTGTATAGTAGCATAAACCATCACAACATTGCAAAACCTATAGGTCATACCCACTATACCAATCTGTGTCCTCATAAACCACATAAACCAGTGTGTGTGAGAAAGTATGAGAAAGAACTGCAACAGAAAACAGAGAGAAACTGCAACAGAACAGAAGAGCGCACACACACAAACACACAAATTAATCAGTTTAAATATACTGATTATTTAATATTACTGTTTTATCCACAAATGTTGATTGTTCAATGTAGTTTATTTTGATTTATTTATTTATTTTTATACATTTTTATTACTATTATTTTTTCATTTGTATTTTTATTTATTTAATATTATTATTATGATTATTATACTATATATTATAATACTATACTCCTATTTACTGTGTTTTATTGTGTGTGTTTTTTATATACATGTTATTTTTAATATTATATACATTTTTTTATTTTTCATTTTGACTTTAGGACCAATTTAATCCTTCGTAACAGATTCAACAAGGGGCTGGAAATATGATTTTGGTTCATACTGACACGATTGACATGATGCAGATTTGTCGGCTGCACATCCATGATGCAAATCTTCCGGTCCGCCCCATCCCAAAGGTGCTCTATTTGATTGAGTTCTGGTGACTGTGGAGATCATTTAAGGACAGTGAACTCTTTATCATGTTCAAGAAAGCAGTCTGAGATTATTCACGCTTTATGACATGACGCGTTATCCTGCTGGAACTAGCCATCAGAAGATGGGTACACTGTGGTCATAAATGGATGGACATGATCAGCAACAATACTCAGGTAGGCTGTGGCGTTGACACAATGCTCAATTGGTACTAAAGGGTCCAAAATGTGCCAAGAAAATATCCTCCAGACCATTACACCACCACCAGCAGCCTGAACCATTGATAAAAGGCAGGATGGATCTATGTTTTCATGTTGTTGATGCCAAATTCTGACCCTACCATCCAAATATCACAGCAAAAAGACTAATCAGACCAGGCAACGTTTTTCCAATCTTCTATTGTCCAATTTTGGTGAGCCTGTGCTAATTGTAGCCTTAGTCTCCTGTTCTTAGCTGACAGGAGTGGCACCCGGTGTGGTCTTCTGCTGCTGTAGCCTATTTGCCTCAAGGTTCGACATGTTGTACATTCAGATATGCTCTTCTGCATACTTGAGTTACTGCATAATTGAGTTACTGTTGCCTTTCTGTTAGCTCAAACCAGTCTGGTCATTCTCCTCTGACTTCTGGCATCAACAAGCATTTGTGCCCACAGAACTGCCGCTCACTGGATATTTTCCCTTTTTCTCTGTAAACCCTGAAGATGGTTGTGCGTGAAAATCCCAGTAGATCAGCAGTTACTGAAATACTCAGACCAGCCCATCTGGCACCAACAACAACCACGCATGCTCGAAGTCATTTAAATCACCTTTATCATCATGTTATTGGCTGATTAAAAAAGTCCATTAACAAGAAGTTGGACAGGTGTACCTAATAAAGTGACCGGTGTGTATATGCAAAAAAGCTCACGAGATAAGTCTTTCGAAATTAAAAAAAAATAATAATAATAATTACATGCAAACAAACACTTGATATTTAACTTGTTATATTGTAATAAAATAACAAAAAAATAACAGAAGCTGATAAATAATAGAAATCTGTCAAAAGTAAACAAAAAAATATATTGGCAGCTCAATATCTGGTTTTGTACCACAATGTACACGACGAAACTAGACGATAAATTGCTTCAAGCTACAAAGAAATAAATACAAATCACTTTGTCTAATATCAAAATTCAAGATCAATGTATCATTATCAAATTCAAACCGTATATTAACAGAAAAAAATGTTAATTGTTAAAAATTGTTACAAATTGTTAATCATGTTAATTACTAAAAAAATTACATTTAAATCAAAAACAAATGTATAATAATAAAAACCACAATACAGGGGTGACAGTTAAATGAACATCTTGCGTATATGTTTAATATTCAAAGCTGTTTTAGATTCTTTATATAGATTTCAAAGATGTAATAATATCATTTAAAACAAAGTTAATAAAATGAACCTAAATTAAAATAATAATAATAGTAATAATAATAATAATAATGATAATTGACAGTCCACACAATATCTTGAAAATACCAAGGAGGCCAGAAAAAAAAAAAAGCTAAAATAAAGGTTTTGGACTAAAATGTTTGCTCAGGGTGTTTCACAGGAAAACAACAGAAGAAAAAAGCGGGAAACCTAAAAAGAAGAAAACCAACATCAAGTGTCACCCGAGAAAAGTAAACACATCCTGTTAAAGGGTCTCATGGGTCTGGGCAAGCCCAACATGAGATTTCCAGAGAACTTTACAAATCATCCAACAGCACTTCCATCAAACTGGTGAATCATCATTTGCACGATCGGTATATTGTTGGCAGGGCAACACAATGTTCCAAACCTCATTGGTATTTCATTTATTTGCATTTTTTCCAGCAACATTTGTATATAGAACACCACTTTTTATGTTTGGAAATTCTCAGTTTCCCAGAATGTTTCCCTGTAGTGTGGAGTTTACAGGTATGTGTTTGAGTGAGTAATGATAATATTAGTTTTGTTCTATATAGTCTCATTACAATTTTTCTGGATGTCACAGATCACTATTTGCAGAAAATGACAGTTATTCATTCATTTTCTTGTCAGCTTAGTCCCTTTATTAATCCGGGGTCGCCACAGCAGAATGAACCGCTAACTAATCCAGCAAGTTTTTATGCAGCAGATGCCCTTACAGCCGCAACCCATCTCTGGGAAACATCCACACAGACATTCACACACACTCAAACACTACGGACATTTTAGCTTACCCAATTCACCTGCACCTCATGTCTTTAGACTGTGGGGGAAACCGGAGCACCCAGAGAAAACCCACGCAAATGCAGGGACAACATGCAAACTCCACACAGAAATGCCAACTGAGCCGACGCTCGAACCAGCGACCTTCTTGCTGTGAGGCAACAGCACAACCTACTGCGCCACTGCTTCGCCCAAAATGACAGATACCATAGCATATATAACCAATGTTTGCAAAATAAGCTCATTCTGAAAACGTATCCCTATATAAGTATTTTTCTGGAGATGAAAATTATGTAGCCAGAAGTACGTATGGCTGCATTTTGTCTTTAAAACGAACGATATGGGGTGGTATGATGCAGTTTTTTTTTTCGTGCTAGCATCTAATCGCTTCCGTTCGTACGGACGGTTTTCCTGCTGCTATTAGTTTGTCCAGTAAAGAATGGTATGACAAAAAATAAATAAACAAGTAGATAACAGGGTGAGAATGTGGTAAAATCTGAAAATGTGGTAAAAATCAGGCGAAGGCTTTTCTATTTCTGGACAGCTTTTTAAAACAGTGTCGGTTGGGTTTAGGGAGGTGGGATTGGTCAGTTGGTCAGTCATTTAGATAACAACCTGGATTTACACGAGAACAGCATGTGCGAATGGCACTCGTGAGAGACATTTGAGATCTTAAAAAGCATACACCGCAGCCTCTGGTGGATTCACGAAAAAAAAACTGCAAAAAAAAGTATCTCCTGAGATGTATTTGGCACTCTCCAGCAATGTATATAGGACCAAACTTTAAGAATGAGTCTGGGTTGGATGTTTGAGTGTATTGAAGTTCCGGTTGAGCATCAGAATGATAAAAAAAAGCTGGTCACTTTGCACAGGGCCTGTTTGGTGGCACGCTATCATCTCAACATAACCCACAATCTATACATAACATAAAGAAAGAAAAAAAGTGAAGATGACAAACCATTACTGTGTGGGTGGTGGAAGGATTAAAGGTGTTGAAAAAGGTGTTGAAAGCTTTGCATCAGATCAGTACACATCATTTTATTTTTGTTCTTAAACTGCAAACTAATATCAGCGATCACAAAGTTAACTGACAGTGATCTAACAGAACATTTCTTAGCTTCAATATACAAACTTTGAAATAAAAACGATATAAAAATACAATAAATGTGTTACAAAATCTGCGAAGCAAACTATGAAAAAGCAGTGAAGCCTACGATATATATAAAACAACTTGTCTGCTTATGTATCAACATTGGGTGGAGACATTCACTTTCAGCTTCTACCTCAACTAAGAAAACTTACAGCAAACTCGCATCTCTAATATCTGATCTGCTGGGTGACCACGGTGGCGGTGGTGCCGGAACGAGCCCGAGTCTTAATTTCTCTGGACATCTGGCACCAGGCGCATGGATAGCAGAAGCAGAGAGTGCAAAAGTCATCACAGCATGAACCCTGAGGAAGAAAGAAAAACATCATTTAACACTGCTCATGTTAAACCCTTATTTATGTTAATGATGCACATTTCTGTCTCCTGCATATTCATAATGGCTCCCTGATGCCTGCAAATTAGACAAAATATCCCGGAAATCATGGAGGCTTGAGATATGGAGTGAGTGCAAGAGAGTGTATTACTAAACACCACATAATTGGCAATAAAGCTCTTTCTGACTCTGACAGTGATATAGTAAGCCCTAAATGCCACTAATAGCTCAGTAGAAGTACTGGTAGTGCATATCGCTGTGGTTATCATTGGAGTTGCCACATGGTTTCCAAGGGTAAGAACACATATTGCTTGTCGGGAAAATGTGCTCAAAACGTTTGGTTCCGCCACACCTTAACTTTTATGATTTTGATTGTAATGCAATAACGTGCACCTTTTGTAAAGCTGATTTGAACAATCATTACTGTAAAATAAGCTTGAATTGACCTGAACTTTGTATTACGCTTTCTAAAGATGGTATCAGTAGATTGGCATGAATACCACTTGAAGGGTGTTTATTTAAGACATTGGAAAAGTTTTTTGTGCCGGCAGATGATACTACATGTTCATGTAAACTTTGGCTAAAATATTAGGATAATAAAAACCTCAGTGAACAAAGATAACAAGAGCTTTTAACAAAAGTATCAACAACAAAAAATAAGAGAGTAAATGATGGCAGAATTTCATTTTTTGGGTGAACTATCCTATACATTAGGGTTGGGTTGGTCGACCAATTTGGCTTCGCACGATGTCTAATATGAAACATCGTGATGAACGATGGCATCGTCATCATAGGCGGCAGGGAATTAATTATTTGTAGCCTAATGTTTCAACTACCTGACCTGCATGGTTATTGTTTTACACATAATTAAATAAAAAATAGATAAAGATAAGTTGCACACAAATTACCACCTGTCAATCACTTTTTCCGCAGGACTCTTGCATAAATAGGCAGAGTGATCAGTGTCATTATAATGGAGTCGACAAACTTGCTTGGTAAAAAAGGTGCACAACTAACAGAAACCAGCCAACAGTATCTGAGATTTTTGCTAAAATGACTAAGTACAAGTGTAAAAGCGAAAGTATGAAGCAGTGTACTAACACTGTCACACATCACCTGATAGATTAAAAAGACAGAAGAGTCGTTAGATAAAGACAAGATTAATTACATATCACGTTTAACAACTATACTGAGATGCTATCCAGCGGTACATTCTTGATAAACTGTCCGACGTGCACTGCTCTCTAGGGTTTTGTGCTCAAAGCACTGCTTGGAGCTCAGACGAGCGCATGACAATGTCTGTAGCTATGTTTACATTCCAAAAATGCGAATTAACTTCATGCGCAAAACTGGATTAAATCGCATAAAAGATGTGCGAATAAAGAAGTGTTTCAATCCAACGAGTCACAGCGAACAAAATCATCACTTACAGATTATCTGTCAACAAATATCAACAGTGAAAACGTGTCTGTGTCTGTGTGTGGTCATGTAATGTGCGCTTTCAATGGTAAAGTGTAAAAGGAGGGCTTTTCAGAAATGCTAGATGAAACACCAGTGTGGATGTGGACAGTTTTTGTTCGAAAATACCATTTTAAAACTAAGATGTATTACTGTAAATGGAGCTGTGTGATCCTCCGGGGTGGAAGATCATGATGGCAGCTTAGCATTGTGATGTCTATCGGCCATCGGCAATGTACGATGACATCATCTATCGACCCAACCCTACTATATATTGAGTCTCTTTTAACCACTTCAACCACTTCTCTGATGCACAATAAAAAATATGACAAAAAAAAGTCATAACTGCAGTGACTATTTTCTTTAAAGAGGCTCTCTCAATGGTCAAGAAGACAAAGTCTTACCGAAATGTCTTTTAAAGGTTTATACTTTGCAAAGAAGGTCTGTCAGTCATACAGCAACACATGTGTCCCCTTTTATCTATTTTTTCCCTCTACTGCCTACAAGTTCACCAGTAACATATTTTAAGGATTAAAGTTATCCTCTTCACATATTTCAGTTTTACTTGTCTATATTTTAGTTTCACCTCCTACCAGGCCATACATCTACTGATTAAACTGATATCATACTTATGTTGGCTTTCTGACCTTAGCTTCCTGCACGTAAAAGATAAGTAGATAATTAATACCCCACATTCATTATGACATTCATTAGCCTACATATCTAAAATAAATTTTTTAAGCGCAAAGATTTGTTTCACAACTACTTCTAAATTCATAAATAAATGAACAATAATAATAATAAAAGTGTGGTCAATGGAGTAATATCCAAACACACGTCCTGATCTCATATGGCGATGCATACGTCTCCAAAACCCAACAGGTGGACAAATCTACACTAGTTTTCATTAAAACAAATATAAATATGCATGTAATAAATAATACTAGTAATAATGTTATTATACAAAAGCAAGTCGTTATGAATAAACTGAAAAAAGCCCCCTAAGATGAAGAAAGCATGCATTTAAACAATGTGAAAAAACACAAAAATTAGAGTTGCTCTGGTTTCAAAATTGCAACAAGTTATGCCATACACGTCTTGCACCTTATTGAGTTTAGTCATGTCAATATGTTTAGTCAGTATAACCGATGTAAGTTGAGATGACTAGAAAAGTTCATCTGCAGCAGCAACGTTTTAGTGTTTGACATGTTAATATTACATATTACAATAAATAACAAAACATAATAAGTTTTGTTAATGCTAAAAGCATAGTTATGTCTTTATTCCTCATTTATAACTGAATAAATGTAAATGCAAATGATGTAATCTTAAAAAAAAATAAATAAAAAAATAAAATAAAACTTTTTTATACAAGTTAAACATCCAAATGACTCCAAAACCAGCTCGGACATTTAGGCTGCATTAACACTGCATGGTGTTAGTGACTCGATTCCGACTTTTTCTCCTATGTGGCACAAATAGGGTATGGCCCATGTACGTGTAAGCAGGAAGAAATCACATGGGTTCCGATTTACCCAAATCAGATTCAGGCCCTGCTCATATGTGGAAATTTAAACGATGTGCCCTTGTGTCTGCAGTGCAAGCAGGTAGATCTGATTTTCACTTGTCAATGCAAGTCGCAAAATGGAATTGACTATCAAGATGTGCAGTTTAAATGCAGCCTTATATTACAAATGTCTGTATCTGTTTCAAGGGTGGATAAGCGGAGGGAAATCCTAATTCTGTAATGCATCTGATTGGTGTAAAAACCATATAGTGCAGGATGAGTCATTAATGCTTTTGCAACATTGTTCCAGTAAGAAAAGTTAAAAAAGTAACTTTTTTATGAGGATGTGAAAGTTACTCATACAGTGCAAGTTAAGCAAATTTAAGTAAAAAAGTGTACTATCTTATTTTTGTAACCATATAATGTACAAGCAAAGCACAATCTACTGCCAAGTGTATCAAAAGCACTGAAAAACTAGAAAAAAAGTTTCTGCAAAACAATAAGAAATTTTACATTTTGTAATGTTCAACTTAATTTCTTGTTTAAAGTCAGCCCAAATACATTGTTTACAACCACTTACTTTAAAAAAAAACTAGTAAATCCAATAAATCATCTTTGAATAATCTTTTCCAGAGTACTCTGTATGTGCAGTGTATTTTCAATTCCTCCTACATTACTTTGTCCACATGTTATGGAAAAAAAAGAAACTGCAAAAGAACAGAAGCAACAAACTACTGAAGACAGCAAAATTAACAGATGCTCATGTTAACAAATGCACATTTGAGAGGATTAAAGGCATCTGTGACTATTATAAACGATTACAGATAGATTTATATTTGTTTAAAGTTTAGAGAAAAAGCACATATCAAAAACAAGTTAACTGAAGCATATGGGAAACACCACCTATTTGATAAATAAACAACCAGAGGGTTATTGTGGGACTTCAAATCATAACCTGTTTTTAAACCAATCAACTTCAAGCAGTATAACGGAGTTAAAGTTCAGATGGATCAGCTTACATGTGGAGGGTAAACATGGTTCAGGAGTATAATACATTTCAATCATTAATCGACGTTTATAGCATTCATACAAGGTTTAAATCACATTTTTATTGTATGTACACAGACTTTATGTGGCTTTGCCCTCCATAAAAATGCCCAGTCTTTTAGTATCAAAGAGTTTGACATGTCTGCCCTATCTATTTAACCAGGAAACACATTCAGGAAGATTTTGTAGTTCTCTACAGTAGTAATTTGCATCAGGAAAATCAGAAAATGAAATACAGACTGTGGTTTATGCAGTAGTTTACGGAAACAGTTAAACTGATTTTACATAGTACAAATCTTCCTCTTAATTAGCAAATGTGTTCAAGGAGGTCATGTTGCTTGTTTTGTAGCCTTTTAGTTTGTAGTTCGGTTTAGTTTCTATTTCCCCTTGCCCTTAGTTTATTGTAGTATATGAGCCCTTGTGTTTCCTCTGTTCTTTGTCAGGTCTTATCTTTACATGGGTGTAGTTTTTGTTTCTGTTTTCTGGTCAGTTGGATTATGTTGTTTGTGTTTTTGGAATAAACTTTTTATGGCTGCCATCTGATCCTCTCTGCTCTATTTCTTCCCCTGCCATTATTTAACAGCAAGTCTCCAGTTAACATCTCACTAATTCAATTAATCTGGTCACAGCAAATCTCCAGTTAATGATTCACTGACTCAAATGACCTTATCAAAGCAATTCTCCGCATAAAGTTTAGCTCAGTAATGGTCTGAGGGTCTTGAGTAGGCTAGACACATGGCTGATTTTGGAAATAGTACATACTAAAGACTAACTGTAGGAATAATCATTGCAAATAGTCACGAATAGTTAATTGTTTCTGGGCAAAATCTGCTGTAAAAAGTGTATGTACAGTCTAAAAAATCCTTTAATGTGGACATGTGCATATTTGTGTATTACAACATAAACTGAGTTGTTTTTATTTAGAAATTAAATAAAATAAATGTTAAGTTGTTAAATTAATACGTATTATTCACAATGCATCTCCCTCACAGTCATGTGCATCATAGATATTAAACTAGCATGTTTACATAGGATCCTCAAATGCACATCTGCTTTTCTATTGTATATATATTTATGTCAGCATACACTCAAGCAAATGATATTTATATACTAGGCTGAATGGTACATATACTGTATAGAGTTTCACTTGCTTGCACACTTGAATTATCATATATTATCAGTAGTAGTTGTAGTTATCTGTTCTAACAAGTTTTGATAGCACCACACAGTGTTTGAGCAAAAAATAAATAAAAATTAATCAATAAGCACTTCATACTTATTAATTATTAAGTGCATTAAAAGCCCATATCACATCAAATTGATGAGGAGTACATGAGCAATATTTTATTAGGGTTGCTGTACTTTTGTACTTGGTCCACCACTGCTCATTTGATGCTTTGTGCTTGTTACTAGGGCTGCACAATATTTTGTTTCAGCATCGATATCATAATGTGTGTGTCTGCAAGTCACATTGCAGGATATGCAATGTTGAATTGGGATACTACTTAATCAGCAACAGCTGGGAATACATAAGATTTCTGGAGTCGTGGCAAAGTATACCAATAACAGAGTGAAACGTTATCATCTGCATGTGTTTTAAAGGCATTTTCAAGAGTTTAAAGCATTTGGGCACAAAAAAAGTATATTTGTAACTTTAAAGAAGAATATTTTTACCGAATTGAAACAATGAAAACTATAGTTTTATAATGTGTATTTGGTAATGTAATTTTATAATTATTTAACAAGTAAGGCTGCACAATTTTGAAAAAATACATAGTATTACACCAAAACATTCTTTTTTTACAGACATTGTGATATTTATTTAGTTTTTTGCAGTATATAATTGTAATTTGAATATAACTTCACCAGATGGATTAATTTAGATTGATGGGGTGATTCTGTAAAGCTGTGAATTGTGTATAAAGATAAACAAATTGTAAGCAAGAGAAAAATAAATAAAAAAAACAGTGGTTTATGGTTATCCATAGAGTCAAAAATATTCAGGTGCAGAAATGGAATAATGAAATGTAAAAGAACTCACAGCTCTTCCATTTCAGGCCTGTCACCATATTTATTTTTTATAAATATATATAGAGGTGTGTTAAGGAGCATCATTGGTGTGTTGCTATTTTGAAGAACTAAAATAGACTACGTCATTGACCATCTAAAAGCAGGTCTAAAGTACAGCGCACAGCACGTTAGTTAGTTTGTTTTTATTTGTCTGGTTTTGGAGACGTATGCATCACCCTATGGGGCATAAGAATAGGATGTGTTTTTGGATATAACTCACACTTCGTTAATATTGTTCATTTATTTGTTTGCTGGATATTATAACTGAATTTAGAAAGAGGTTTAAAAACAATTTTTTGCATTCACAAAAATTTAAATATGTAGGCTAATGTGTCACATTCACCAGCGATCTCTAACCACCAGAGGTCACTGGAAAACATTCTCACTCACAGAACTACAAATGTGTTTGTAAATGGACTTCAACTTCATACATGCTCTTCGCCCACACACCTGCTTCCTCATTTAGCTTGATTACTTTCGCACACCTGAGAACTTTCAAAGACTGATTAACACACACTACTTAAGCCACACATTTACTTCTTCAGTTTGCCGAGTCTTGTTATCCGTCACAGTGACATTACAACGCGTTTCCTTTGTCTGTCTTTGCCGTGTTTTTGATCCTTTGCCTTGTTTATTTATTTAATGCTGTTTGCTGCCTGCCTCTGACCAACTGCCTGTTGTTTTGACTTCGACTCTGAATTTCCCTCATACATGTGTTTGCCGGTATTGACCACTGCTTGCCTGACTATTCTAATAAACCTGCATGTGGATCCAAACTTCTGTTGTTGGTGTCATTCCCCGGTGTTACATAATGGATGTCTTCAGTGGAGTGCGAGCAACACAGTTTCCTTATCCATGAAAATAAAGAAGAGTAAAAGGAAAGTAAAGAGAAAGTTAAGAGGCCGAATGGAGGAGACTCGATATTTATCCTCACACTGCAGATGGTCTTTTAACCGTATTTCTTGCTAGTAAAGCATTCAGTTTTGGCACTTACAAAGTCTGCCATGTAAATAGCCAGTTTATTTAGCATATGTTTTGCACAGCGAATGTCCTTCCAGCTGCAACCCAGTACTGGGGAAAAACTCATACACTCTCACATTCACACACATACTGTACAGCACACTACGGCCAATTTAGTTTTTTCAATTCACCTATAGTGCATGTATTTGGACTGTGGACACCTGGAAAAACCCATGCCAACAAGGAAAGTACATGCAAACTTCACACAGAAACGCCAACTGACCCAGCCGGGACTCAAAGCAGCAACCTTCCTGCCGAGAGTCGACAGTGCTAACCACTGAGCCACTATGCCACCTAAGTAGAACTTTCAAAGTTAAATTTAAACAACAATACAGTACAAAATGCAAACTGCATGCAAATTACATATCACACACAAGTTCATATTTAAATTTTGTATACATAAAATATGTGATGGATGCAACATATAGCTGTTAATATAAACTGGAATTAGAAATATTAGAATTACAAACAGGTATTTATATGCATGTACACACACACACACACACACACACACATTTCTGTAAAGTGTGAAAAACATAGAAAAAAAAAAAGCACAGTAACATTACTTTAGCACCGAGGGTGATTTGACACCTGTACCTTGTTTTGTTTGCTACCGAATGAACCAACAGTTTAAAGAACAAAGTTGAAAAAAGATCTTAAAAGGTTTTGTTTTGGTGATTAAAGCAAATGTTCTCTGCACCTAGATGTATGTGCATGCATGCTGACAAATTATATGTGCATATACATTAGTCAGTACTGAAGCCAAATCTGTAGCTTATCTAACAAAATAACTTATGATAACGATGTTATAGAAAAATATTAAATACAAATATTTTTTAAAAAAAGGCAAAATCAAAAGAAGCAAAAAAATGTAAAAATTTTGTTGACATTTTGTAGGTTGTAGCTGCTATTTGATTGTATTATCTTTCAATTTTCTACATTTTCTAAGTTTGGTGACTAAAATGTTATTTTAATAAATATATCTGTTTAATAAATCTGTTTTGTTTAAATGCACCAAAAATACATTGCATATTCACTGACAAATGGATAAAAATATACAATTTCGAAATGAGGTGTACTCAATTATGCTAAGCACTGTACAGATGAGAAGATAATGTTAAGGGTATGATAAGATTTCAGACACGAGGAACCGAGAAACGTCTAAAAATTAGAGGATTTAATGGCTGCTTTGCCCCTAGGCAGCCTTGTGCTGGAACAGGGTGGTCGGAACGCTAGAGGGAAAAGCGGGACCTTCACTATTTTTATAAAAAATTTATTAATGCAAAACCTGTTAAAACGGCTGCAAACATTCTCAATTCCTGAGGTAAAGGTGGCAGTAGGGCACTGCTAGTGTTAGCTTAGGGTCTGAAAGGACTTGTGTGCGTTAGTTCTCGAAACAAAATGCAGTTAAAGTCAGAATTATTAGCCCCCCTGAATTATTAGCCCCTGTTTATTTTTACCCAATTTCTGTTTAACGGAGAGATTTTTTTCAACACATTTCTAAACATAATAGTTTTAATAACTCATTTCTAATAACTGATTTATTTCATCTTTGCCATGATGACAGTAAATAATGCTTTACTAGATATGTTTCAAGAATTCTATACAGCTTAAAGTAACATTTAAATGCTTAACTACAGTTGGTTAATTAGGTTAACTTGGCAGATTAGGTTAATTAGCCAAGTTATTGTATAATGATGGTTTGTTCTGTAGACTATCGAAAAAAAAGCTTACAGAGGCTAATAAGTTTGTCCTTAAAATGTTTTCAAAAAAACTAAAAACTACTTTTATTCTAGCCGAAATAAAACAAATAAGACTTTCTCTAGAAGAAAAAAACATTATCAGACATACTGTGAAAATTTCCTTGCTCTGTTAAACATCATTTGGGAAATATAAAAAAAAAAAAGGGGGGGGGGTTTCGTCAAATAATTCTAATAATTCTGACTAATAATTCTAACTGTATATCACAATGACTTTGTGTTCTGAAAGACTGATTAAGTGGAATGAAATTATGTGCAAACACAATGAAATCATGACACCGGATTTGTAAGAATGACTAGTGGCGTTCACAAATGTTATCTGTTTCAAGTTTGGTACTAAGAGATTTGAAAATGTATACTTTACCTATGAAAATAGTAACAAAGCAATTAAAGAAACCTGCATTATGAGCTGCTCATGTAGAAACAATCACAGCGCTGTGCATCACTTTACTAAAGCATAAAGCTTCAATGCACTCTTTAGGATTTCTTTACTGAACTCAAATATATCACATTCTCACTTATGGACAGCTGATTATTTTTTAAAAGTTACCAGCTTACTAGTGAATAACGTCATTCATAATATCCTAGAAGAGAAAACAGGAAGCTGCAAGTGTTTCATGTATTTTTGCATCTACTTTGCAACACCTTATTAGTCTTTTATATATATATATTTATATACACATGACTCATCTCCAAAAACATGTAGCAGTGTGTGAGAACTCACATTAATGCTGTACTGTTCTCTCATTTTCTTGCGGAGACAGCAGGACACCACCATGCAGCAGTCCAGCAATGGCATGCAGAAACACCAGCCAAACTGAGACGCAGTCTGACACTGCATACATGGGAAACACCAGAAGCCACAGCAACCTGAATAAACACACACGTTAGGATTTGTTAGTTTTGTACGTACTTTGCATTTATGCAATGATTTCATATCTATATAGTCTGTTCCCTGACCCACCTGGATTCAGCATTTACACAATTTTAAAACATCATCATTAATAAGTAGATCCTTAAAAAAAATGCCCCCACACACACAAAATACATGAACAAATTGCAAAACTGGTTGTATTAGGGATTTTATAGCTGTTGATGTGGTTCAGTTCACAAGCAGACGTGGGAGACGCATTCCTCTTTAATTACCTTCCTGTTATCCTCCGCCCTCCATCCTATGACCCAGAAAGTGTTCAAACACAAAGAAAAAAGCTTTTATTTAATTGGTACAATAAATCGCATCTTGCGACATGCTAATGACGTCACACACCCTCAACCCTCAGGTTTGATTTCATAGAAAATAGAGAAACACCAAATATGCTTTAACATGTTACGTTTTATTAAAGGTTCAGGACACCCTGGATAACTTTTTTTTTTATATTAACAGATTTGTGTGTTGAGCATCAGTTAAGACAATGTTAGCACCTGTCAGCTTTAATTGTGGGGGACACTTGATAATTTTGAGCTTTTGTCAGCTAATTTCAGCTTCCGGGTTTAAAATGATTTTTAGGGCGGGATCAAAATGGGCGACGTAGCGCAGTACTGCTAGTGCAATGATGACGCGTCGGTTTCTCATTATTATTCATAGCGGAGTTCTCTTATCCTATGAGAAGAGCCGGCTGCTTAATTATTCATGAGACCTGCCAGACCAGCCAGAGTCTAGCCCGAGCTGTGAGACACGTCACGAACCCACGGCACGGGCACACAGTATTTAGCCGTTCATGAAGGCTCATATGTGTTTGTTTGCATGATCCACGGGGTTTGTTGCATGTTTTCCCCCGCGATCTTGTCAGAGCCGATCATACAGCAAAGCTGTGTGTGTGCTGCTAGCATTTTTGTCGGGAGAGCAGCACGAGAATTAGAGAATGGCGGACGCTGTCTTTTATCAGGAGTTCACTCACATTCAGACACATCACTGTGCTGCTGTGTTTGCCTAAATCCTCCAGATTACCAGCAGGGCTAAAGGTTAAAATAGACAGGTCAGGAGACCTGCTCCACTGAGTCTGCTGGATACGGGGATTGAGGGAGGAGTCCTCATTTATAGGGTTTACATGAACACACTTATCTTTATAATGATATAAATTGTGGTTATGTGTATATGAAATTACGAATAACAAAAGTAGCAGGACATTAAATCACTATTTATTTCTTTGCATTTTAACTTTGTAAACTATAAACTCATGCGTCTCACGGTTTGTCTCATTTTGTGAGCTAGCTTTGTTCGCTCCCCTTCTCCCTTGCTGGCCACGCCCACTCCTGCCCGATGCTCGCGGAGCTCCACGCCCATTAATCATGCATCTTTTGAAAAAATTCTGAAGTAGACTTTAACCGAAAGTGGGGGGTGTCATGGCCCTTTAAACTGCACAAAGCAGCTTCATAAAACAACCTTAAAGGGTCACGAAACACCATAAGACATTTTTTTTGAGATGGTGACAGTCATGTATGTGTCCCACTCTGCTAAAAACACTATTAGGACACATATTCTACTAAAAAGTGAAAACTGGTTGTTAGAGCAAGTTTGTTCTTCTGGTTTGAAAATAAATTTTGAAGCTGCGTCATGGCCATGAGATCCTTGTGTAAATTCCAGCATGTAGACTGGATGTCTGTACCGGCGGGTACAATGTGACGAATTTGAGCTTTCAGCATTAATTCATGAAAAAGACTTGGTTCAAACCAATCAGCGCCCTCTATTGTGCATGAGGTGCAACTTCATTAATATGCATGATAGCTTCGAAGGCTGTTTTTACCTGTTACAGTGTTAAGACGGCAGAGAGCCAGGTTGTGATGTCAACCACAATTAAAACAAATGGAAGAAGTAGAATTGTTTGGAGACATGGGTTATCAGTGTTGCATTTATAAATGTGCCGCAATAAAGGTTTTGTTTCCATTTTCCCACAATGAGAGCACTGCCAGCTTGTGGAGCCACATGTGAGAATTACAGTGGTCTGCTAACTTGCAACAAAAATGTGTTTGTAATGAACAGTTTTTACCCGAGAGCTTTTCGATTCTGGAAATAATGAAATCCGGATTTGACACTTGTCTTCTTTTTTTTTAAAAAAAGCACGGTTTCCAATTTGTGTTGCTTGTCCGGTCTCTACAGATTTGGTAAGTGTGTGATCAGTGTTCTCTTGCTAATGTTTATTCAGATGGCAAAGTTAGTTAGTATCGTCAGCAGTACTTTTCAGTTTTTAAAGACATACACTTTTCCAGCAGTTTCTCGCATCTAATATCTCGTTTGTCATGGGGGCATGCTTAAAACGTTCCTGAATAAAAGTAAAAGTGCCAAACTGCAGTTAAAGTCAACAAATTAAGAATAAAACATCCAAAATTACATGACACTCTGGAGGAAACGTGGATACTAGACGTTAATTGAATTATGTGCTATAACATGTGAAACAGGATCATGAAAGGAACATTCCAAAAGCAACTCATGTAAACACCTTAATCATATTATTGTCTTATTCAGATCAGGACAAATAATTCGGTTACTGATGTCTGTATACGTAGTCACTGTCTACGTGTTGCCACTGTGAAAATCAGCTGTAGTGCATGTACTGAAACTCCCCTTTTCAGGCCAACCCTTCCTTTTTCACCACTCGACACTCCCACCTAAACAGAGATGAACAGAGCTTGAAGTAATGAAAACCCTGTGCTGAGACAGGGGGGCTTCATGATGCTTTAAAATGTGTTTAGTATGATCAAACAGTGCTGCTTCTTACAGGAAGTGGTGGAGTGTGGCATAATGAACGCTCAGCTGCTTTTGTGTTGAGTTCGTCTTTCATCAGCAATTGCTTGAGTGGTCTCGTTTCGCTTTGGCAGCTTTCAGACTTCAGGATCATTCACACAGAGCATATTTTTCTTTTCCAGTGCACTACTTTCTATTGTGTTTTTATGTAAACACACACTTGATGGAAACATAGTTCAACTTTTACATGCAGTGCTGCTCAATGTCAGTTCCCAAGCAGTGGACCAATCAGAAAAACTCAAGAGGTGGGGCAAGTGTTTACAGTAACAAGTAACTATTTTATTTGACGTTACCATAGCAGATGAGGGTGATGCGGTGGTGCAGTAGGTAGTGCTGTCGCCTCACAGCAAGAAGGTTGCTGGTTCGAGCCTCGGCTGGGTCAGTTGGCGTTTCTGTGTGGAGTTTGCATGTTCTCCCCACAATTGCGTGGGTTTCCTCCGGGTGATCCGGTTTCCCCCACAGTCCAAAGACATACGGTACAGGTGAATTGGGTTGTTGTTGTTTTTTTACCCCTTTTACAAGATTTAAGATAAGCCTTTGGTGTCTCCAGAATGTGTCTATAAAGTTTCAGCTCAAAATACCCATCAGATTATTTATTATAGCCTCCAGAATCTGCCCATTTTGGTGTCCGAGTACAATGTAGCTGTTTTTGCAGCCTGTGGCTTTCAAGAGTTCCCACTTAGATATGCTTGGCACTTATAGCAGGTTTGGCATGCTGTCCCGGGAGAGAACCCTGAGCTCGGAGATATTTGAGCCCAGGGCTCCCGCCCGGTCTAGAAGCATATCAGGAGAACCGAGATCAGTCAGGTCTCGATCGCTCCCCCTTTAGAACGGGAGAAAAAGGAGGAGATGGGGTGGAAGGGGGGATTCTTCCAAAACGAAGATAGTGCAATGAGGAGAAAGTGATCCATTTATGTTAAGCTAGGATCATTCTGATTGGATTATTACTGATTACGGATGAGTGGCCAGCGGTGCACAATCATATCACGTGCTCCTCTCGAAATTAGTTTATGAAACTTCACTTAAATGCAAGTGAGCTGCTTCTCCCCGCCCACCATCTGCTTTTTTTTACGTTACGTCAGATAAACAGCACAGTGACAGAGACAGACTCGAGTGAAGCTGAAATACAGCTCATTAGTCAAAAATATCAAGTAAGTTTATTTCATGCATTTATGGTGGAGTTTATTCAAGCCTTTTTAAAATGATGGGTCTCAAACATGGCGTTTGCCCCTGCCCTCTTATGTAGCTAGAATGGCTGACCGCTTACCTCCGTATGTATGGCTTTTCCATATGGACGGGTTCAGGTAAGTGAGAGGGCAGGTCAATCGGTGCTTTTGAAAACACTATTGGTTGGGTTTAAAGAAAAGGAGGGTGGGACAGTCAATTGGTCAGTCAGTCATTTAGTCAACAGTTGACATTTACGCGAGAACAACAGACGCAAAAGGCACTTGCGAGAAAAATTTGTGATCTGAAAATGTGTACACAGCAGCCTCTGGTGGATTTGCGAAAACAAAAACTGCACTTCTACGCCATGTTGCAGTGAGCCTCAAAATGAGAGGAATATGGATCCTATTTTAATATCAGGAAATTAAAAAAAAGAGACTTTCTTTAAAAAAAATTTTAAAAGGTAAAATCCAGGGGAGCAGTCATCTTTAAATGGCCACGCTGAAGTGATCATTCTGGTGTATGAAAAATGTGAACATTGTTTTATTTGCTATATTAATTATTATTCTTATGAATTGTTACGACCCTGTCTTCTCTTTCTTACCTTTCGGTGGCCTCGCCATGTGACGTCACAGTTAATTAGTTAATTTATGGGTGGAGAAAGTATATATTTTAATTTTTTGTGAAGAACAGCACTTCCTCTGTTGGACCGTTATTCCACAGAGAGGTCATTTTGCTCCAACTCTTTTGTGTTGCCGTCTTATGTTTTGTTTTGTATTAGTTGAGAGAATTTCACCTGCTTTCTTATTTATTTCAAATCCCTAGACAGTTTGTTATACTTTATTATTCCCTTTAATAAATGTTTTTTTTTCATTATATATCTTTTTGTGTGTCTGATCCTTTTTATGGTACGGTCGGGAGCGAGCTGGCCGTAACAGAATGTAATTTTAATAAATGTATATTACTAGTTCACTTATGTTTCCTAGTACTGGGTTGTGGCTGGAAGGACATCCGCTGCATAAAACATATGCCAGAATAGTTGGCGGTTCATTCCACTGTGGTCACCCCTGATAGATAAGAGAATAAGCTGAAAGAAAATGAATGAATAGTTCACTTTTATTTCTGAAATTATTCAGATATTATTACTGGGCTTTTTCCCAAATATTTTACATGCATGTCTTTAAGTTTGTATAAGATGGTAATTCCAAAAGCTGGTGTATTTGCCAAGTGATGATCTGCTAATTTTGCTCCAAGAGTGTCAAAACCGTAACTCATATCCTGTCTCAATTTATCAGACTCCACCTATTCTGCTTCATGGGTCATATTGACGTGATCTAGCCTTCACCCGGACCCAACTAAACACTTTGTAGATGTAAATTATATATAATTCTCATAATAATTATATAATTATATATATTCTTTATAAGAACACGCGATGCAACAAAAATCCAGGGACAAGCAATTTGTCTGTCTGAACCAAACACGACATTTAATATTAATATAATAATATTAATATTAACATTTAAATACCAGCCACTGCACTCCCAATGAAATGGTAAAGGTTTTTAATCTAGCTAAAACACATAAAACCTCTTTAACAGTATTAAAAGGCTACTGAGTGACTGATGTTGTTGGTGTGCACTAAATCACAGTTTTGTGACTGACATTGATTTTCAAATCATCTGCTAGTTATTTGATTTTCTCTATCTGCTGCTGTTTTCAGTAATATAACAATGTCATGTTTAATGGGATTTAAACACACATTGGGAGCGTTTAACACTGAATAAAGCACAAAATCAGTACCTGAGATGATCTTTGTCATTGCAGTACAGTATATGTTGTTGTTCTGCTGCAATGTTGCAGAAATAAAAAGCATTTATAAAATAGAAATATCACACATCACAGATATTTAAGAAATATCACACGGCAGATGGTTAGGACAAAAACTAATTTTAACATGGTAAATCTATCTTTTATAGCATGTCACAGCACCATGTAGCATGTATTACTAGAACTTCTATATTAAGCTTTCAATTTCCATGAACTGCTATGTTAAGCTGCTTTGACACCATCTACACTGTAAAAGCACTGTAAAGAAATAAAGATGAATTGAATGTAGTTAGGACACGTGTAACCCTTTAGTGCTGACATAGAAAGACGCAACTTCTCCAGTCTATATAACTATGAGATTTTCTCAGCACATGCTACCAAGGCCTTGTTCTTTTATTCTCTATTATTTAAGTGAATTAAACTCAGATTTGATTTCAAGTTTTAAATACTTATATTGTTATAATACATTGATTGTTTGGGTTCTAGATTACTTACACTTTATTAGACTAATTTGTTAATTCTTCCTATGAATTATTACAGCATATCTTTTATTGCAAATATTGTGCATATATTTAGCATTAAACAAATATGGTATATATTCATTTCAGTTCATCTTATTTCTATAGCGCTTTTACAATATAGAATGTGTCAAAGCAGCTTAACACAGAAGTTCTAGTAAACTGAAACTGTGTCAGTCCAGTTCTCAGAGGTGAAGTTCAGTTTAGTTCAGTTCAGTGTGGTTTAATTTCACTGCTGGAAGTCCAAACACTAAAGGGCAAATGTCAAAACAAATTTATATGTCAAAACATATTTATATATGTCAAAAAATAGTGTATATATATGGGTTATAGAACAAAATGGGAAAATATAAAACAAAATACACAACAAAATATCTTGACAGGGATATTTAAAACAAACAGTTTTAAAACAGTTGGTGACTTACAAGTGCTCATATCAGAACAACAGTCACAGATGCCTGTGGTCCAGGTTCCAGAGGAGGTCCGCTGGGTGCTCACAACTGTAGTAGAAATTGCTGCCATGACTCCAAAGGAAGGAAGTCCTGATGGAAGAAAACAAGAGAGATAAGGTGATAGAGAAGATGACTGATTTAAGGTTAGAATATGGCGGCACACTGTGATCACTGCATTACAGAAACATGATTTAGAGACTTGAGAGACATTTTGTGTATACAGTATGTGGGGGAGGGGCTCTCATTTCACTTTCTTTTTTGGCTTTAGTTTCCTGTAGAAGGGCTATTCAGCCTCTTTTGGTATGGCACTATCTTTCTTTTTCTAACATTTAAAGGGGGGGGGGGGGGCTCCACTACGACATCATATTTTAAACTTTAGTTTTTGTGTAATGTAAAAATAAATCTAAACATTAACAATCTTTCAATGTTAGACGCTCAAAGTTCACACAAAGGCAGACAGAGTTACCTTAGCAAAGCCTACATTAAACAAAATTTGGGGACTACAAAATTTACATCTGGGTTAATAATGATGTCATAAACCCTTCAGTTTACAACTCAAGAAACGCACAGTGAAGGGGCATGGACACAGAGCGCCGTAAAGTTGAAGGAGCAAAGAAAGGTAAAATGCTGAATGCACCTAAAAGTTGGCTTGCCCACTGCTAATAAACATCAGAATTGTTAAATGCTGTCCAAATGGTGTTATTTTCATGGAGCCGGTCCTGCTTGTGTGTTTGGGCTTCCAAGAAGGGCTGTGTGATTTGGGGAAAATATCTAATTGTGATTTTTTTTTTGACAGATATTGCGATTTCTATTTGATTTGCAATTTAGTTTTGTAGTCAAGCTTCAGCTCAATGATCTGTATTGTAGCTTCTTACTGCTATAAAGCAAGGCGTGTTAGTTAAAAAAGGAACTGAAAGGACATTAACAGACTTGAAGAATTTTTTTAAATGTTTTTAAATATTTAGATATTAAACACTCATGTTTCTCTAGAGCAAACAGTAAGCACAAACAAAATGACCTTACCTTTCTTTAAACAAGTTAAACTCAACACTCAACAAACTAACATTGCTGAAACAATTCTGAAATGTACTTTGCTGTTGCTTGCTACAAGATTGTGTATCACTGGCAATACTTTCAGTTAACTTTTTAGCAGGACACTTCTCATTTAGCCACCTGTGCTGCTTTTTTTAGGTGCTGGTTGTAGTATTTCCTTGTGCTGTGGCAACAACTCTATGACGGCTTTTACAAATTACATGTACCAGGTTTTGCTTGGTGTCTGTGACTTTGAGACCAAAATATTCCCATAATATCGACGTGCCGTTTTTCTTTGATATTAATTAGTCTATTAATGCTTCTGAGGCAGACGCCATCACCCAACCAGTCCACGTTTTTCTGTTTTTTTTATTTTTTTTTATTGTGGGCTTTCCACATAGTTCGGTCGCAGGCAAGAGAATTTAAATAATACATATTTCATATTGCTAATTGATTAGCTAACGCAACGTTTAAAATTATGATTGCGATTCGATAAATTGCACAGCTCTACTTCCAAGCCACATGACACAGAGAAAATAGGTTACAATTCAATTTTAATTATGTTCCAGAGATTTATAAAAGAAGTTACTGTACAGTAGGGCTGTGCAATTACGCGAAAATCTGATTTCGATTTCGGCCTCTAACGATTATGAAAAACCATTAATCGAGATTAACGATTATTGCATCATATACCCTCCCCTTTCCAGTTGTACACATTTGTTGCTCTTAAAAGCGCAAAAGACCGCATGCTTTGTGTGTGTGTGCGTGCGGCGCGCAGACACAATCAGAAGCATGCGATCAGCATTTGGTCTCATTCGCACACTGTGATGAGCAGAGCGCACACATCTAAAGTATCCTTAACGTGAGCGCTTCAATAGTCAAGTAGTGCCTAGTTCACACTAGAGGATTTTAAGCCTGATTTGAGCCCGATTTGGAAGTTAACGAGCTCGCCGACAGATCGGGCTGTGATCGGGAAGAAATCTGCGGGTGCTCGGCGCTCGCCGCTCTTTATGTGTGAACTACTGAGCAACGCATCAACGAGGCTCGCTGACGCGTCGCCGACACCTCGCAGACGGAAATCCAACATTCAGCATGCTAAATATTCCAGAGCAGTCGGCCGACTTAACCCCACGTGTGGTCAGATGTAGTGACGAGCTACAGCCAATGAGAGAGCATATCAGCATGAGCTGAATGGCTGTGTGTTCAGGAGCTCAGCAGAAACATCTGTGATTGGTCAGAATGGGCATCGATGCACTCGCTTCATTCTGCGTTAGCACAGACATGAGAGTAGGATATATTAACAGTGGAACAAGAATTCTGTAACTATTAGAATTACCATACTGCTCATTCTGACCGTTCTTATATAAACGCCATATTGTCACAACATATTTACATTCAAAGCTATTATTGAGATATTAAAATTAAGCTTTGAATGTCTGGCATCATATTTAATGACACCATTACCCTAAAAATATAATCTTTTTTTGGTAATACAGCCTATAAATATGTAGTTAAGATACTAAAACACTTAAAGGCTTGGCTTTCATTTTCACTTTCAAACAGGAGCTATTTCACGCCACAGAATATGCTGTTTTGAAAGATATCTGAAGTAAATTAATGTTTTTGCCATCAGAAAGTTTTGTTTATGTTAGCAGGAAGTTGCCAGGCAAGAAAATGCAGACATATTTAAAGTCACAGTGAAAAGTATCAGACATACATGCAGTCATTTTAACCAATATGGTAATTTAAGGCAGAAATGCTCAGTTCTTTACTGTTTTGTAATAAAAAAAATAAAATAACAATGTCAGAAAGAAATACACTGATAGTTAGAAAATGGCAGGGTGTTATAAATATGTTAGTTTTATTTCAAAGAGTTATAAAATTACAAAAATTAAAAACTCTGTGTATCTATCCACTCAAACCTTGCAGATGAGTGATTAATCCGCTCATAAATCAGCTGATTTGACGATGTTTTTAAATGCTTTCTCCAAAGCTTGAAAAGCTGTCAGTGATGTCATCAGCACACAAGCAGCCAATAGTGTTCAGCTTTTTTCTGACGACTCCTCCCTTAAAATTTCATTGGCTGTGGTTTGGTAGCTTGAATAAGCTGATGGGGAATGAGATGTTGTCAGATCATGTAGTGTGTGACCCCCCTCTTGTGGATCGTTCACGGAGTGTTGCGTAGTGTGAACACCACAGAGATCAAAAGACACAAAGTCAAGTCATGTAGTGTGAACAGCACAGCGAAGCTTAAGTGTCAAAACGCGGTGTTTAGTGATTATTCATATTAACCCTCATTTATGTGATGAACAAACGAGTTGAGAATTAAAAGACATGTGACTGTTTCCATCATTATTAATCAAACAACAAGGAGAAAATCCCTTTCTGCTCTTGACTGAAGGACTTTTGTAGCTAAAGTGTTTTCTTACAGTAAAGATGCTTAAAGCACAGTTTGTTTCATATTTTTATTCTATTGTATTTATTTTGCTTTCCTTTGCAGGGAGGAAAATAACTGTATATATGCAGTTGAAATCAGAATTATAAGCTCTTCAGAAAATTAGCAACCCTTTTCCTGCCCAATTTCTGTTTAATGGAAAGAAAAAAAAATTTCAATATATTTCTAAGCATAATAGTTTTAATCATTTCTAATAACTGATTTCTTTTATCTTTGCTATGACAGTACATAATATTTTACTAGATATTTTTCAAAATACAATCATTCAGATTCAAAAAGCGATTCAAAGGCTTAATTGGGGTAATTAGGCAAGTCATTGTATAACAGTACTTTCTACTGCAGAAAATCAAAAATATATAAATGCCTAAAGGGGCTAATAATATTGACATTCAAAGAGGTTTTAAAATATTTAAACCTGCTTTTTTTTAGCCAAAACAAAACAAATAAGACTTTCTCCAGAAGAAGAAATATTAGAGGAAATACTGTGAACATTTCCTTGCTCTATTAAACATCATTTGGAAAATATTTAATAAAAAAAAATTCTCAGGAGCACAATAATTTTGACTTCAACTGATAATCGTTTTGAATAATCGTGATTACAATTATGACCAAACTAATCAGGATTATGATTTTTCCTAAAATCGAGCAGCCCTACTGTATAGTCTAGCTCGATGTGCAAGGCATTTTACATAAGAACAGCTTCCAGAATCTCTCCCAGTTCTCAGTGGTGGATTTGACCATAAACTTCTCCTCAAAGGAGCAGCTCCAACCATAGAGGAAGAAGCTTTTATTTGTTAAAATTCATATTTTACATGCAGTTTCTAGGGTTAACTGTATGCTGTAGCAAGGACATAAACAATGAAGTAAACAACAGGAAATGCTGTTTGACACGGTTAACAATATATCTGCAAGCTAATTCACATGTCAAAAGTTCACACTTAGATATTGAAAAAAGTGTGATTGAGGAAAGCGGCCCTCTCTATGCGGCCGCTTTCCATGCGTTCTACATTTGATGTAATGAACTCGAGTTCACAAAAGATATGTGAATGTTTCATTGTACTACACATGCTCATAACCTGAATATACGTACATGCAAGACACTTGTCAACTTTTGTTTTAGAGATCAGGCATGAGGTTCAGCTGTGTCCCCTTCATTTTCTGTCTGATTCAGGCTCAAACTGATACGGCTGCACTGACATTACACAGCAATGCTCTGTAAGACGCATGACATTTGCTACTGACACAGAGCTGATCTGCTTATTAGCTGACCAATCAGAGCCATCAGAGGGCAGGCCTTTAGAGGAACCAGGAAATACGAGTCTTTTCAAGTTGGCCAAATAGCAGAATGAAATGAACAGTTTTTTGTAATATGTGAGGGAAAAAACATGATTTTTTAACAAATGAAGCATAAGCACACATTGTTTTCACCCTTTAAACACAACCAAGCCCTAGAAAACTCTTAGAAAAGCACCACCCCTTTAAACCTTGATCTCACTCAATTTCTTTTAATTATAAAAACACATAAATGACAGCTTAATGATTTATATACATTTTGTATTTGTACATTTATTTAAAGATCACATGTATTTTTTATCACTAGTGTTAATAACTTTTTTGTTAATATTAAACGTTTTTTATGAAATACTATTTCTTAATGTTTTTTCAGCACAGCACAAAGTTAAACATCAGAAAAATGATGATAAAAATAATGATAATGCACCTTTAAATTTTAAATGTGCAATAGGTGACCGTCTTCAGGAGCAATTTTGATATAATGGCTGAAAGTCTCTTTATATCCTGATGGTTATATAAGGTGGTCCAAATGTATTTTTATGCATTTTAATATGTGGTGGAAGGTGTAGGGCTGAAAATTTTCATCCATTCAAAACATTTAGCCCGAACCTAACTATAGGCTGTCTTACCTGCCTGTCAAAATATGCAATTGCATACCCCTATGTATCCTGTTTACACAGAAAGGTCTACGTCATTGGTACTAGGGCTGCACGATATTGGGAAAATTTAACATTGTGAAATTTTTTTTATTTTGCAATATATATTGCGATATATGAATCTAACTGCACCAGATAACTCAATACCTCTATTTGAAAAAAAAAATAGTTAAATCGATTGTAATGATTCTGCAGTGGGAGTTCATCTCCATAAAATCTAATAAACAATCTTTACAATTTTTGGGGTCCCCCGACATGTTGTGTTCTGTGCTGTTTGCAGTGCATTTCTGTATTTGCATGTGTTGAGAGTATTTTCATGCATAACCGTCTATAAATACAATCAAGACACAAGATACAATTAAAATAACAAGTGTTTTATCATTTCCCAACTTCTAATGGTATTCAAGTACAATAGCTGAACGATAGAAATACGTCCATAAAATTAATCATTGTTAATGTCACAAATGCTAAAATTTCTTATGCCTGAATGTTTTTAAGGACATTATACAATCGCAGGCATTAAAAACAAGCAAATGATGAATTAAAATACAAACTTAACATTGCATACATCCTGCGATTTGACGATGGCGAATTATCATATTTTAACGATACAATGATATATTGTGCAGCCCTAACTGGCGATTCAGACAGAGAATGGCAGGCAAACATCAACAACTTATCTTCATTTGAAATTATTCCCATTGTAATTGCTAATTGTACTATAAAGTTTATGGTTGCACAATATAAATTGTTTCAGCATTGATATCGCAACTCTTGCATCCGCAATAGTCACATTGCATAGATCTGCAATGCCAAATGGACATTGCAGTGTAATTTTACATTTACAAAACAATAAAGCATGCAGGTTTCACCTCACTTTGATCTTTGCTTTATTGCATTTATCAATGTTTGTGATATGTTTATTACATTTTCTGCATGATTCACTGGCCTACAGAATCATCCCGAATCAACCTAAAATGATACATTTGATAAAACTTTATATACCAACTCTAACTATTACTCTGTTACTAGGCTATTGAGATATTGGCTGCTTATTACTAATAATAAAGCACATATTGTGTGATTTTATTTTACATCCCTAATCTGATGCAATACCTAAACTACCTTAATAACTAATAAGGAGCACATAAGGAGGTTATTGAAGCAAAAGTCATAATGCTTTACTAAGAGAGAGAATTGAACCTTAAAATAAAGTTTGACCAAACATTCTTTCCAAATATTTAATTCAATTCACCTTTACTTGTATAGCGATTTTACAATGTAGATTGTGTCAAAGCAGCTTCACATAGAAGATCATTGTAAATAGAAACATTGTCAGTTCAATTTTCAGAATTTTAGTTCAGCTTAGCTCAGTTCAGTGTGGTTTAATAGTCACTACTGAGTCCAAACACTGAAGAGCAAATCCATCGATGCGTAGCTCTAAAGATCCCAAACCATGCAAGCCAGTGGCGATAGCGGCGAGGAAATAGTGCTGTGGAATTGTATAGATACAGTATAGATACAGTATATCGCAGAAATACAACACATCGCAATGTCAGATTTTTCTAATATCGTGCAGCCCTAATAAAGATTTCTCTCCGACAAAAGAATGTTACTAAATGTATTGTAGTTATGTTGTCAAGTGCACGTTCAGGAAGTGTGGCTTTGGATGGTGATCTGCATTGGGGCATACAGGCTCTCAGTGATATCAGGTGAATATTAGCATTTTCCTAAATCTCCTTATGCATCTTTAAATCGTGCGTGTTGCAGAGTTTAACAGATGTAAAAGAATTATTATCTATGAATTATTATGTCTCTCAACATTTTTAATAATGTGATGTTGAAAAAACACCAGTGACACAATGAATCACTAGTGAAAAACATAACATAACATCTTTAGTGTTTAGTGATGTTAAAAGACATCTTACCACATTGACAATCATGGTATGCACAGATTCATGCACATATTTTCTAGTTTTTTTTTTCATATTCCTTAACAATAAACGAGGTAATTTCTGCGAAAATAGTTCTGCATTAATGTAGAGTTAACCAGAAATGAAACCTATAAACTCCACTAACAGAGTCAGCTATGCAGATTGGCACGTGCACGTTAACTTGACTGGGTTAAGTTTCCATGATGAGATTGATCGAGAACATGGTATATATCTATACTCTCTTTTTACAAGAAGTAAAGCAAACTTATTTTTGTGGTTGTAAAAGTAAAATTTTGTTTCAAGTGAGGAAAGGGGAAAAAGCTAAAAATTGAGACATGAGAGTGATATATATATATATATATATATATATATATATATATATATACACACACAAAGTTAGTTTTAACAAGTAACTCAATCATATATTTCTAATGTGTTGTTATATTCTCAACGTAAAGGTTTAATTGTCCGACATTTTCAAGCGAAGCAAAGAATTGCACAATTAGCACTCGATCATTTAGAGAAAGAAAACGTATATATAACATATCCTTGCAGAAATATACAAGTGTTTAGTAAAGAATATATATATATATATATATATATATATATATATATATATATATATATATATATATATATATATATATATATACATATATATACACATATATATACATACACACACATACATGCATACATAAATTTACTATATCGAAATAGATATAAAATAAAGGGGATGATTTACCTTGTCTTGTGTGGAGCAAGCTGTGGTGGTCTGCTTCAGGAAAACGAAACAGCAAATGTGTTTTACCGCGAACACACACAGGAACACGACAGAGAAAATCATTCGAGTTTTCCCATTGTCAAGAAAAAGAAGGCGTGTTTATTGAAAATATTTATTGAAAGGCTAAACTAAACACTCACCACTTTTGCGAATAGAGGATGTAAAGGGTCAACAGATATGTAGCTAACGCTTAAATTTGTTACAATTTTCAAAGGAATATGAGAATATGCAGTCTTGCAAAACAGACTGCGTCACGGATCAAAAAAGCAAACCTCGTGGTTTTACTCAAACAAATCTGATTAAACAATCAACTGTCACAGGTTTGAGAAAATCACCGAGGTTTAACAAGTAACATTCAAAGACGATGAGGGGAAAAGGCATCAGTTTTGCTTCTTTTAAAAGTGACTAGAGGGAAATTTTGGAGTTTACCTCATGATAGTCCAGCTCATGTCCTTGTCCTTGTGATTTATTTTCCTCTGTGAATACGAAAGGTCAAACAAAATGTCATATGTGGCAATGTGGGGTGTGCGTGTATAGTGATCCATTTTATATTTTATTTAGTTTGGATTATGAATAGTTTTTTTTTTTATTCAAATTGATTAGCACTATAAATAAATCCATAATATATCCAAAAGAGGTGCATTAGATGAAATTATCCGTTACATGCAAATGTATGATGATTGGAAAGCGCATAGAAACGTGCTGAGGACACCTGAAGCCAATTTAGGCTAATTAGGCTTTTTTTTAAATACATTTGTTCTATTTTACTGAAAGCAGAAACGTAGACGTGTTCAACTCTGTAATAAGGAGGACCTCTGCTGGTGAACAAGGGGAATTGTACTTGTGTGAGACTGACAAAAGGTTGAGAGATTATTTTTTAGCAGTAACTCCAGCTTTATAGCTTGACAATAAGTAAAATTATTATAATAAATGCGATAAATCTGATACCCAGATAAAAGTTTTCCTAAAAAGATTGTGATGACAAAATTAATCAACCTTGTCAGCTTATTAAAAACGCTTTAATTTTAAAATGACGAGTTATTTGTTTCATGTTTAATTTTTCAATCATTTTATGACTCGTACTACCAAGTCAAAAGTTTGAGGTCAATTCATACATGCGTATCTATACACTCACCGGCCACTTTATTAGGTACAACTGTCTAACTGCTCTTTAATGCAAATTTCTAATCAGCCAATCACATGACAACAACTCAATGCATTTAGGCATGTAGACATGGTCAGGATGAACTGCTGCAGTTTGAACCGAGCATTAGAATGAGTAAGAAAGGTGATTTAAGTAACTTTGAATGTGGCATGGTTGTTAGTGCCAGAAAGACTGGTCTGAGTATATCAGAAACTGCTGATCTACTGAGATTTTCACCTACATACATCTCTAGGGTTTACAGAGAAGGGTCTGAAAAAGAAGATATCCAGTGAGCTGCAACTATGTGGGCGCAAATGCCTTGTTGATGCCAGAGGTCAGAGGAGAATGGCCAGCATTTGAGCTGATTGAAACACAACAGTAACTCAAATAACAACTTGGTACAACTGAGGTATGCCGAAGAGCATCTCTGAACGCACAACACATCGCACCTTGAGGTGGATGGGCAACAGCAGCAGAAGACCACACTAAGTGCCACTCCTGTCAGCTAAGAATAGGAAACTGAGGCTACGATTCACTAAGGGTCACCAAAATTGGACCATAAAAAACTGGAAAAAACGTTGCCTGGTATGATGAGTCTCAATTTCTGCTGCCACATTTGGATGGTAGGGTCAGAATTTGGCATTCAACAACATAAAAGCATGGATCCATCCTGCCTTGTATCAACGGTTCAGGCTGCTGGTGGTGCAATGGTCTGGAGGATATTTTCTTGGCACACGCTGGGCCCATTAGTACCAATTAAGCATCGTGTCATTGCCACAGCCTACCTGAGTATTGTTGCTGACCTTGTCCATCCATTTATGACCACAGTGTACCCATCTTCTGATGGCTACTTCCAGCAGGATAACACTCCATGTTATAAAGAGGGAATCATCTAACACTGGTTTCTTGAACATGACAATGAGTTCACTGTACTCAAATGGCCTCCACAGTCACCAGATCTCAATCCAATAGAACACCTTTGGGATGTAGTGGAACAGGAGATTCGTATCATGGATGTGCAGCCGACAAATCTGCAGCAACCGCGTGGTGCTATCATGTCAATATAGACCAAAATCTCTGAGAAATATTTCCAGTACCTTGTTGATTCTATGCCATTAAGGATTAAGGCAGTTCTGAAGGCAAAAGGGGGTCCAAGACAATACTTTTAAGGTGTACCTAATAAAGTGGCTGGTGAGTGTGTATATGTATATCTATGTATGTATGTATATATACACACACACACACACACACACATATATATATATATATATATATATATATATATATATATATATATATATATATATATATATATATATATATATTTATATATTTATATATTTATATTCACACACACATATTGACCACAATATCCTCATAAATTGCTTAAAGTCTGCAGGTGTCCAGGGACAGGCTCTACAATGGTTTAAGTCATACTTTACTGACCGTTACCAGTTTGTGAATATTAATGGACAGCCTTCACAAGTCAGCCCAGTAAAGTATGGGGTGCCCAAAGGATCTGTTTTAGGCCCTTTGCTGTTTACAATTTACATGCTACCTCTGGGAGACATTATTAAAAGACATGGGATCGGCTTTCACTGCTATGCAGATGATACTCAATTATATATTTCAACTAAACCTGACGAGACGTCTGAACTGTCTAAACTAACTGAGTGTATCAAAGACATTAAAGACTGGATCACCAACAATTTTCTTCTCTTAAACTTTGACAAAACAGAATTATTACTTATTGGGCCTAAATCTTGCACACAGCAGATCTCGCAACTCAATCTACAATTAGAGGGATACAAAGTTAGCTTTAGCTCTACCATGAAAGATCTGGGTGTCATATTAGACAGCAATCTAACTTTTGAAAATCATATATCCCATGTCACAAAAACTGCCTTCTTTCATCTGAGAAATATCGCTAAATTACGAAATATGCTATCCATCTCAGATGCAGAAAAGCTAGTCCATGCTTTTATGACTTCCAGACTGGATTACTGTAATGCTCTATTTGCTGGCTGCCCAGCATCCTCTATTAACAAACTACAGCTAGTACAAAATGCAGCAGCCAGAGTTCTGACCAGGTCTAGAAAATATGATCATATCACCCCAATTTTATCCTCCTTACACTGGCTGCCTGTTAAGTTTCGTATTGAATTTAAAATATTACTTCTCACCTATAAAGCTCTAAATAATCTAGCTCCTGTTTATCTAACCAACCTTCTGTCTCGCTACGAACCAACTCGCTCTTTAAGATCTCAAAACTCAGGGCTTCTGGTAGTACCTAGAATAGCAAAATCAAGTAAAGGAGGTCGAGCCTTCTCTTTCATGGCTTCTACACTCTGGAATAGCCTTCCTGATAACGTCCGAGGCTCAGACACACTCTCCCAGTTCAAAACTAGATTAAAGACCTATCTGTTTAGTAAAGCATACACTCAATGCATCACCTAGCGGGTTCCACACAGGCTTCTGCATCTTGCTAATATACACTATGAACAGCAGCTACGCTAATTATTCTCTTTATTCTCTATTTTCACTTGGGGATACTCATCCCGAGGTCCTCAGATTATGCGGAGTCACTGATTGGATCCAAGACCAGCGACGTGATGATCCCAAGGTTTCCATATCCGGGACCAGGCCATATCCTGAGCTGCTGCTGCGCTGATGGTCGTGGGGAGTGGAGAACATGTGTCTGATTCCAGCGACGCTCCAGGGACAGACGAGTCTTCGCTGAGGCCATCTTCCAGCCTCCACCACGGCGACTGAAGCTCTGCACAAGACTTTTGGCCAGCGGAGAAATTAAAATGGTCGCGCCGAACTGAGTCTGGTTCTCTCAAGGTTTTTTTTCTTCACTCTCCCATCAGGTGAAGTTTTTTTCCCTCTCCGCTGTCGCCACTGGCTCCATGGTTCAGGATTGGTAGAGCTAAGCATCAATGAATTTGCTCTTCAGTGTTTGAACTCTCAGTACTGATTAAATTACACTGAACTTAAACACTAAAAAACAACTACACTGTTCCAGTTACTATGACCATTTATGTGAAGCTGCTTTGACACAATCTACATTGTGAAAGCGCTATACAAATAAAGCTGAATTGAATTGAATAAATAAATAAATATATATATATATATATATATATATATATATAAATAAATATATATATATATATATATATATATATATATATATATATATATATATAATTTTTTTAGACAATTAACTTTAATGAACAGCATACTGTAGTACTAACTATCTTGAACTAATAAACTGCAATAAATACTCTAGTGTACTTTAGGTTTACAGTAAGCTGGTGTATTATTGTATAAGATATTCAGTATTTGATTGTTTATATTACTTTGGTTGTTGTATTGCCACTAAATATTAATTTAAGTACTTTATTAAGGTTTTAAAACAGTACAGTATTTACTATAAATTACAGTAGTGTTGTATCTGTTTAATATGGGCTAAATGTATTTCTTTCAAAATGCAATAAAATATAGAAACACTACCATGTAAAATGTTTTGTTTCTATCTTAAATTGATTAAAATGTAGTTTACTACTGTGACGACAGCTGAATTACCAAATCTTCAGAAATCACTCTAAACATTGATTTAATGCTCCAGAAAACAGTTGTGCTGCATAGACTAATATTAATTGTACATGTAGCAGATACTTTTGACCAAGGTGACTTAAATAAGTTAATTTTTTGCAGGAGTAGTCACACATTTAATTGATCAAAACCTTTCAGCAAAATTGTCCAACAACTCCCACTCTTGTCTTAGGACAATTTTAATACAAAATACAGTTGAAAACAAAATTATTTAGCCTCTTGTGATTTTTATATATATTTTTTGAAATAGTTCCCAAATTATTTTTAACAGAGCAAGAAATTCCCGTTTTATTCTTCTAAAATTAAATTAAACAAAGTAAATCAAATTGAACAATCTATTAGCATGGTTACAAAGCAGAATTTGTTCAAGAAAATTACTGAACTTAACAACCATAACTTTTGAGGGCCCCATCACACAGGGCTCCGCCACAATGCGCACTCATCCACTGGTTGTTGCTAGAAGAAGTTGCTGCCAAAAGTGAACAAGAATTATTTATGTTATTTAATAAACTACCCATTTAATTGTATTTTATTAATGCTTACCCCAACGCTCACACTAATGTAAAAATGTTAATCATTGTACAGTGTCACAAAAATGATGTGATGATGATTCATGTGATCCCGTTTCTCCTCCTAGACCTCTGAGCTTTCAGACACTGGGTGGCGCCATCTTCCTGGTCTTTACTGCTCATCTTTAAACCTCCCTAGAAAAACAGGTTCCTTTCAATCAGTAGATTTTGTTTAATAAATTGACGATTTAATATTGAATAATTTGCATGTTTAAAGAATATGAACCGGCTTTACAAATAAAGTATAAAATTGCACACGATGGGGATATATTTGACTATTTTGGAACTAATTTATCACTAGTAAAATACTGCTTTTCAACTGGCCTATACTTTTTTTAGCAACAAATATTGCAAGTTTATTGTATTTCTGTTTAATGCATTTTTTTACATAAAGATCTAAATTAATCGGAATTAATCTGACGAGGATATAATAGGCTCATTTAGTGTAAACATGTTGTAGCCAATTTGTGCATTACAAATTCTGCATTACATTACATTACAATGCATCGCAATACAAGATGTGAAATACAAACTCTGAAATGTTCCTGAACATGTTTTGCACGATTTGCGTTCTCTAAAAACACTTTGCATTTAATTTAAGTCTTTAAATTAAACAATCTGGCAGTTGTCGCGTTTTAATAACCCAAATAACTCATTGGGTTGTGTTAATTTTAAAGTTTCTTCATGTAACCTATAGGCAACTTTAGTTGTATATTTGAGTGTAAACTTATTTTATCAGACAAATGTCGCCATTTATCATAGACCATTTTAACACATTTAAGGTTTGCCTTCAGATAATGTGTCAAAAGAAGTTACAACACTTTCCGGTGTTGTTTGCTCAATACAGCTACTTCCCACTTTACCAGTTTAAAGGATAAACACAAGTTTGAAATCATCATACAAACGTTTTCAAATGCACGCAACACTTTAGGATAATCCTCTGGCTCCGTTTACCAAAACACCTGCTGCCACATAACATTAGCAGCAGACACACACACACACACACACACACACACACACACACACACCTGCCACTTGATAAGCAGCAGACAACGCGCCGAAACGAGCACTCCTCCAACACGCCCTCTTGTTCTGCTTCTAGAGAGGGAAGTAAACGTGAGCTCGTCTTTTTCTTCCATCACTAGACCGACTTTTATGATAAGTAACGCAGGGGATTCTGACCGAAACAGGACCACAAACAGAACTCAGATGAACACCCAAGGCTTTGGAGAAACATTTACCGACGTCTATCCAAATGTACCGTCTGCTCCAACCGGGCGCGCTTTTTCACAGAAAGTTTTGGTTCTACTGTACGAGCGGGGACTGAAGCAGCGGTAGGATGTCAAATAATACCACAAATGACAGCTCGTATCCCCACATACGCGTTTGGGCGTCGGGGGTTTCTCTGGTCATCTTGGCTCTTTTCAACCTGGTCATCAACTGGACCATCGTGCGGGAGCAGAGGCTGCGGAGCCACGCGCGCTTCGTCCTCGTTTTTCACCTGCTGTTCTCCGCGCTGGTTTACTTTGCGCTCTGCTTCAGCTTCTACTTACAAAACTATCTGAATGCGGCCACCACGGCCACCACATGCACGGTGCTAATAAGAGGACTGATGACCAGCGGTTCCAACATCATCCTCACCATCACGGCGATGGCGCTGGACCGTTATTTCGCCATCTGCTACCCGATGCACTATGGTAAAGTGTTCTTCAAGCCGTGGCCCTGGTTCATCGGGATCCTGACATGGGGACTCGCGTCTGTCATTCCTCTCACTGTGACCCCCAGGAACGCCACGGGAACCTGCGGAAGGAAAGATTTGCAGGGTGGGGAAACACACAAAATCCTTTTGATATCGATTTGCACTGCTCTCATCGTGTGCAGCTATGTGCGGATCTTATATGAGGGGCGACGGCTGGGTGTGTTTAACCGGCGCAACCGAGCTGCGTGTCGGACTATCGCTCTCCACGGAACGCAACTCGCCGTTTACATCCTCCCAAACTTTATACTGTTTTTCCTGCATATTCTCAAGAATAAGGATTTGTTCACATCTGACACCAAAGAGCTTTTTGCTGTCATAAGCTTTGTGTTCTTCAGTCTGGCGCAGTGTTTCGCGCCGATAGTGTACGGACTGCGTAAAGAGGAACTACTGGAGCATCTCAGTCATCGGTTCCCGTGTTTATCTGGCCGGTTAAAACTCATCTTGGAGTGGACTGTCAACATCGCCCATCCCAAACGATGTCGCCAACAACGGTAAGAGAACATGGTCGAGTGGTAATTTACTGCGCATTTGTCTTTGCCAAGGCGTATTACGCATCCGTACAACATTTTAAGCTGCTTCAAGTTATACTTAGCTTTTTATTATAAGATCTTGTCGCTCGTGGTCAAATTTTTATTTTAATTCACTCTCAAAAGTGGAGAAAAAAATGTTTGTACCTAGAAATCCTCCTGTTTTAGATGTTTTCTCATTTAATGACTCAACTAAAGATGTCCCTGAACAAAAGTAACAAATAAATAAACAAAAACGTTTATCTCAATTAAAGATTGTGATGCATCAATTAATTTTTATCCTGCACGAATGATACTGGCAGGCTATGTCTGCATCATGAAGATGACACACGTGAAGGGATATTCTGACATTTCAAATGTTTTCGGGGGCGTGGCCCAATATCATCGTTTATAACCACATTATGTAAACATAACTTCGCTTGTTGGCTAAAAGACAGAGTAACTTCCTACGATAACTCTGAAAAGCATGCTTAGTTTTAATACACTTTGTAGCTAAGACCAACATTTTAATAAATATATGCGTGGGAGGCACAATCTGTTTCCACATCCAAATGACAGCATCAAGTAGTAAACAAATCAATGCTAATTCGTTTGGCTCACTCCATCTACACGACACTTCAAAGGTTTGCTGACTGTACGATTTATGATGTTATATTAAAGACACTTACTGACATTAAGGCTGCACATTGGCAAATAATATCACAACGGTTTTCAATTTTAAAAGGTACTCCAATCCACTCGAATAAAAATATTGAAGCTCAAGAAACATTTCTATTATTAAGTTTAAAGATACCTAAGTAGTGCTTAGATACCAAATTAACCTTGGGTGCTACCTATTATTATTAACCAGAAATCTGATACTTTGTCAATAAAACAGCATTTCTATGTAATGAGAAACATTTTTCATGCGTTTGATCAATATAATACATCCAAATTTGATAAAAGTAATAATTTGATTCGAAATAAAACTCACCATAGCTAATTTTTGGAGGTTTGTGTATATTTCCGATAGTTTTAGAAACGTGCCTAACTTTCAGTTGGTGGTTTTTATCAAAGGCTTAAGCCGCATTTCACACCTACAACCACAAGCTCATGTCTAATGCTTGTTTTCAAACCAGAGCAGCTACCAAAAAAAACAATTACGCTTCTTTAAACTGGTGTCAGAGGAGGGTTTGGGGAGTAAATTAAGCTGTCAGGAAGAATAAATACGTTTTTATTTGTTTTTTCACAATGATTCCAAAAATGTTTTTGGGATCCTTTAGTGAAAAGTTCTCAAAAAAAAAAAAAAAAAAAAAAAAAAAAATATATATATATATATATATATATATATATATATATATATATATATATATATATATATATATATATATATATATATATATTTTTTTTTTTTTTTTTTCAAACTGTGAATTTTATTATCTAAAATTAATCAAATTTTTTACAATTTCATAATCTAATTTAAACTTTATTCTTAAGTATTGGTAGACCATCTTTAATCTGCCAAGACTATAAAACCAACCAATGGAGGTTGCCTTAAAACGAGAGACTCTAATGAAAAGTATCTGTCTGCCAAATTATGCAAAATACAAAATCCATGCTTAAACACTGATAAATCTAACATGTTGCGTTTTTTTTATTTCAGAGAGCGGAGGATGACTTCAGAGACTTTACTATCTCGAGAGATCTCTCAAACCACTGTTTGACCACATTTGGATTAAGAAACAAGCCCGCTGTTGGTTTCTTCAAACGAAATATGCACAAAACAAGCCTGAAACTAATACTGAATCAAGGTTTTCACAATGCAACCTTTTTTAAATCATCTGCGAAATTCAGGAAACACAATTTTCCACTGTTGACTTACAAAACTTCAAGACACAAATTCATCAAGTTAGGATACAATACCGCAACCATGTGTTCAGGAGTCACTCTTGCCAAAAGTGTGATTTTCAAGGCAGCAACATTAACTGTAAATAGTACTAATGACTTACTCATGTGATGCGTCATGTGAACAAGGGGAAGCTATGTGAAGATGCCTGGTTGTAAACGCTCATATTTGTAAAAGCGCTACAGACGTCATCTCTGGTATTGTTTGATTTAGCCCAAACAGTATTTTGCAGTCATTAACATAAATAAGCTAAAGACCCAAGTAAGACTTGGATTTGTACAACTGTGAAGCAAGATTGTCATGTACAGTATGTGTTGTGAAACTGTAAGATTTGTAGAATTAGATATATTATTTCTGACACTGCCACATCCTGAGTTGACAAGACACCCTGTTTAATAAGGTCATTAACGTTCATCAACAGTTTCCTGTAAACGCTCTCTTTACAATATATGTTCACTTCCTTCAGAAGCCAGTACACTTGGTGAAAGGACCTACTGTAATGCATGATGGTTTTAAAGCACTGGAACAAAGGGCACATATTTATAATAACGCCTTTTCCTTGTATGATACAACTGTGATATTAACAGATATTCTCTGTATACCTGCTTAATGCCTTTCGAGAGATGCTGCAGTAGCAGAAGAACAACAAATATACATTTAAGAGAAACTGTTTAACGTAAAACGTGTAAGAGCAGAACCAACGGTTTGTGTCATTGTCTGGTTTAGCAAACAATGGTGCAATAAGCATTTTATCTGCACTTCTCTATTTGTACTGCGTGTGGTCTTGGATTTCATGCTTTTGTACACTTGTAATAAAAACCTTTTGTATTTATGCAAAATAATAATGGGTTTAAGTTACTTACTCACATTAAAAAATGACACTGAATAACAGGAGTAGGTTTAGGGTTCTTGCATGCACTGGGCTATACGCACAGCTAGAGTTTTTCAGCCAATGAAAGCTTAATGTGACTATTTTCAGTTTCATAAGGCTCCTTTTACAGCATCAATGTTGTAATGTAATTTAAGTACATTCAGCTAAATAGACTTAAGCATTCATTTAATTGTTGAAGCTTAAAACGAGATGAAAGATGCCAGGATCAGCAGGCAAGCGGACAAACTCCATTGAAAATACTGGGGTAAAATAAACTGTTATGTTTTAAATACATTTAAAACGAATTTAATGAAGTGCTTCTTGTCTGGTCTGAGACCCACTTTATATCGTATATCTATCAGGCAGTGAAGATCACTGATTTTTGAAGAGGTCAGACCTTAAACATGAAGATTTTATAATGGAAAGACAGTTCACCGAATGCACTGAGGCTGACTGGCTGAAATTAAAAGTCAGTGTGCATATAGCCCATTATACACATTACAACTATTATTATAGTAAGTGCATGCAACAAGGACACTGTAAAAATAGTTACCAAAAGACTTTAAGTAACCGAGACAAACATGTGTTCATAATCTGAAACTCGACTGAACAGAACACTTCTGAGTAACTGCGGATCTGACATTCCTCATTATGACCATGGGAAAACTAGTTTCAGTATGTGAAACCACTAATAAATATGTTGACCAACAAGGTCAAATTGAAAACATTTGGAAAGTCACTGGACTGACTTTCATTGAAAGGTTTCATGTATTAGAAGAAGATTCTTGTATTTTATTTCATATATAGTTTTAATATTTCTTAAATGTTTGAAAAGTTTGTAATCAGATAAGAGAGAAAAAAACACTTTCACAAACTTTTTGAGATCATCTATAAAAGCTTGTCGGTTTGTTTGTTATTTTACATGCAAGACGTTTTTGCTGGGAAAATCAAAAGGATGGGATGTTTACACACACTCCCAAGAGAACAGCAGACGATATTAATGCTCAGGATAATGTAGAAAGTGCTGTTCTGTACTTTAACATCAGCGTGTCATGCAAAGAGAAGGGATTTAACTCAAACTATAGTCTCACATAGATCTATACAAGTCTCAGATATATTACAGAAAATACAATGCTGTCTAATAGTCTGTTGACACGATGTCGGCTAAACATATCCACACCCACACTTAGGGCATTTTCTGATGCTTTTGTTTTTATTTCAGAATTAAATAAAGCCAAGTTTTATTCTTAGTTTGCAAGTGACTCCTCGCTCTTTTCCCTCACAAGCCTGACAATATCGCAATGACTATATGCTTTCTTCACAGCTGTTTTCCCACTTCTGTTATTGTTTTCATTCATTATGTTATTGAGAGCAAAGAGTGCAGCAAATATTTACATATTAATCTAAACTCTGCTCTCAGCAGCGTGGATTCTGTCTGAGTGCTCAGTATATCACAAAAAAGGCATTACTAACTTCTTTTCACTTCTAATCAAGGAAGAAAGAGCTTTGCGCTCAAGTCACATTCAGTTTCTTGTGCATTTTCTACATGCACAAGCTGTAAGTTGCTAGCTGCAGTTCACTTAATGGCCACTGGTGTCGCTAAAAACAATGAGTTTCTGTATTCTACATGCAGCCCCCTTTCACCACTAGTTGTTATCACTTTTTTATTTTTATTTTAAGCTTGATTACATATAAAAAGCTAAATTAATGAACACAAATCAAATCTTTAATTGTAAACCCAAATCTACAAATCCTAATCGTTAATTTACAATCCTTTAATATGAAGTATTAATGCACTCCCATGGTTGAAGAACACAATGTGACGGAACCCACTCGCTGAGGATTGCAGCATTGAACAGTCCCAGTAGAAAAGCATGAGCGTGACTGACTGGTTAGAGAGAGGTAATGAGTGGGCGATGGGTGGAAGAACAGCTTGAGAAGCTTTAAAAGCCCAGGGGATGAGGAGCAACGACCCCTCCGTTTTCTACCACAGCCGCAGAAATGGCACGCAAGTTCTTAAAGGTCTGCTTGGACGTCCCTGACCTGAGGAACTTGATGTCCTGCATGACTCTCTCGTGGGCCTGAAGGAGAGAAATCACAGATTAATGCTTAAATGTCCCATGGAATTATTTTTTTATTTTTTTTTAGTGTCAGTATTATTTGTTTTTAGGATATCTATAAGCTAGTGTGCTCCAAAACAGTGACAAAATTACGTCAAATGACAAATAAAAATGCACATTTTAAAGCATTTCACAAAACTTTAAAGGCTCATGTAAACAGTGATCATTTTCACACACTTTTCATCTGCATTTATTGAGATGATTTGGCCATTAGTAACCAAGTGATTTTCAATGGCGATATGCAGAGCAAATGTGCAAAATCACTCCCTGACAATAGATGTTGCTGAAATGAAATTAAACTAGCTATCAAATTCTATTTGAACTGCAATTCTTCTCCATAACTCCCTCTTGTCATCATTTTTGTATTTGCTTTGGCGTTTATAAGACAGCTGAGTTCAGACACTAATAAAATAGGCAGCTCCCATTATTTATGCACCTTCTTGGTCATTGGGAATGTGTGCTGGCCTAGTACGCTTTGTGCTTTAAGTCCTCAAGAAATCAAAACTAACCATATGATTTTGTTATCTCACATTGCTAGTTTCGTGGTGAATAATTCATCTTGGCATATCAAAAAATGTTTGCCCAAACAATCTTTTATTGAAATCAGAAAATGGACTTCCTGTTTTCAGTTAATTTATCAGATTAGGTGATTTTGAGGGAATGGGCGTGGCTAATGCTGGTTCAACTGCCAGTTTTGACATTAATGGTGAGCAGGAAGTGTCTGTTAGGTTGTAATACCTCTTCTAAATCCACTTTCCAAATCTTCTTGAATAAATTGCCTACTTTATTACATCCATTTAGCCCACGGTAAAAAAAAACAAAAAAAAAAAGTACTGTTCGCTCATTAAAAAAAACAAAAACAATAATGATCGAAATAAAGACTAATAAATAATGAATATATTTGTTATGTTATTCTAAATAAATAAGGAATAAAATAAATAATAATGATCGCAGCTTCCAGCTCACGAGGACTTTAAGCGCCACAAAGTCATGTTTATGGTAACTTTAGAACCTCTAGAGACATGAGGGAAAAGTGCCAACATGCTCAATCTACCAGTTTTTTTTCCTTTTTTTTTCAAAGAAGAAAAAAAAAAAACAGCAAAAAAAGACAAGCCTGTGGCATGTATTTTAAAATAATGCTTTACCACTGCCATTTTGCGCACTGTTGTGTTGTGAATGCCCACATTGCTCCATTTATTTAGTCATGAGGCTTTGAATATGGATGATAAGCATGAGTGAAAAATCGGTGTAAACAGGCATTTAAATATACGATAAAGCAAAAAAACTGACCTCAGTGCACCAGGTTTCACACAGCATCTTCTCATGCTGAGCAGATGAATGACCCTGACTGAGAGAACGGGAAGCTCTGAGGAAGAACAAGCAGAAACAAGTTGAATGGGCTTTATACACAAACTGAAATGCATCATTTTATAGTACATAAAACAGAAACATGGTTCATGCTTTCTAATAAAACTAAAGTGTAGGTTTAATGTCAGAGAAAGAAAGTGAGCTGAATATTTGCCTAAACTGAAAATAAAAATGTTAAAATATGCAAAATGTGAATACCTGTCACACAGTACAACAGTACATATTGTAAATGGAAAAACAGTAAACACATGCCTTTTGGGCTATGTTTAGATTTTCATCTTGAAGTAAACTAATGCCAACACATTAAAAAAAAAAAAAAAAAAAAAAAATAGTGTTCATGACTAAAACAAGCCCAAACACAATGTGTAGATTTCAAGATAATTCTCACAGTGCCATTACACGCTGCTTTGCTAAAGCTTTAGGATCTGCCATCTGATCTGATCCAACATAATCTGAAAACGTTGGAAAGCCATATGAAAGTGGATCTCAGTTGTGGTGGATGTATAGTGGGTATAGTGGTTAGAGACCGTGAGCGAAGACCAATTGGGGACTGTGTGCTCAGTGTATGCATTGGACATCCTGAGAGCTGTAGATGGCACATGTTATACACTCTGTCTATCACATGTTATCTTCTTAAGGAAAAATTTGCATAAGTTCTAGGAGGTGATTCTACAAATTCTTTTTGATGACTGGCTTTCACTTGGATGTTTGCACTACATTTGCAATGGTGTGAGATAAGATTGTCCTACTGGTTTGTCAAGTTTTCAATATTCTGAAATCACATGACTTTTTATGATGCACACCAAGGAATTTATTTGAAATGTGCTTCAATCTTAGTTTGTGTGTTATTGTTTTATTGAATAAAATAGCAGGCTCAAATGAGCAAATAAATTGCAAATCCATTCTACAAATTTGCATAATCTTGACACAATTCACTGATTATGCAAGATCCTAAAATACACATAGAACTAGGTGTAAGGACACACAGCTATTGACAGCTCTTTCATTGACCATTGAAAATGTACACAACTAAAAATACTGGTCTGTGGTTTATTTAATCTGTTTTTGGGTACTTACTGAACTAAACCCCATATGGTGAATCACATCAGGAAAATAATACATTTATATATATGGTTGAGTATCGTTTTGGTTATTTTATGCTGGTGCTAAATCAATACTTTTTAAAATGGTATGAGTGCCAAAACAGTGCCTGTAGCGATTCTTTTAAACAACAAAATTATGGTGGATGACTTTTGAAAAATATTTTGTTTGACAAAATAATTTTTAAATAATTTTAATTGAATAAATTAAAAGTATAAAAAAAATTTAATTTGAAATTTTACATCAATTCCTATTTTATATTTTTGAATTAAATTGCATTAATATAATTATTTTGATCATTTGTTTGTTAGCATGAATTTAAGATTTGCATTTAACATTAACTTAGATTACTACTAAAGCCTGATTTATACTTCTGCGTCAAACACCGGCGTATGCTACGGCGCTGACGCATAGCCCTTCGCCGTGGCCATCGCCGTCACTGACGTGCACCTCTCAAAAAATGTAACTACACGTCGCAACGACGCGTAGCATAAGCTCTGTGATTGGTCGGCTTGGTAGCGCTGACGAGTCTGGGCGGGACCGATAGGCGCGCGAATGGCGCGACGCCGCGCGAGCGATTGTTTACAAGTGTGGAGTCCCGTGAAGGAGCTCCGGATGGAAAGTTTTGTTTTGTGTTTACCTCATAGTTAAAGTTGTTGCACGTCCGCCGGTTCCTGCCTCAAAATGAGCGAGTTTGAGCCACTTGTACATCCCGGAAGTGTTCAGGAAATGCAAAAAAGTAGCGAAGAAACTTGACACAGAGGAACATTTACACCTCACTGCCAACTAGCGTTTCGGAAGTGTTAATGCAGACCGGCAGAGACAGCGCGCAGAAGTATAAATGCACAGCCACGTGCGTTGCCTGCGCCGTGGGTTACGCCGGTCACCTGACGCAGAAGTATAAATCAGGCTTAACCTGTGGATAGACTGTCATCAAAATCAGGGAACACTTTTTTCTAGGGTTAGGGCTTGTGACCACGTTTATGTACATCAGTAATCTCATTTTATTTACCTTAATCTGAATAAGACAATAATATGATGAAGGTGTTTAAACGAGTTGCTTTTTTTAATCTTTTTTTCATGATCTAATTTTACATATTATAAAAAATAATTTGATTACCATCATTGCATCAGCACGCCATCCATGTCCTTGTTTTAGCACCAGCGGCACCAAATTTATGCAACGAAATTAATTTGCTGATTTGGTCTGGTGCATACCGGTTACAGAGATATCGGTGCCAAAATGGCACTGTTTCAATACCCAACCCTTTTTATATATATCTTACCTGGACAAGACCACAACCATGGCATACAGATCAATGGCACAGTCAGCAACTCGCTTCAGAACAAATTGTTCATCTAAAGAGAAAAACATACAGAAATCACACAATTACCACAGGCAAAGGTGCAATCTCAGAAGCATACCCTTTAAAAGCTTTTAAGCCACAAATGACTTTGCTGCAGTATGGACAGTATACTTTATCAGAGAATATACAGAAATCAGAGAGTGAAATTCAATACCTTTTTTTAATTTTCTTTCCTTACATTTTAAGACCTTATAACAACTTTTCTACCAGAAACAATGGCGAGATTTTCACTTACAGTACATTTACTAAAAATTAATGTAAGAAATTAATCCAAAACTAAAACATTATTCATATACTGAATCTATTAAATTTAGCTAGATCAGCAGGTTGGCGCCTGTAGAACTGCAGAAATAATGGTGTTGTCTTGCTTACTGCAGTAAACAAAGCAGCATGATGTTAAATCTATTATTCATTTCATAAACTACACAGCATCCTGATTATCACAGATTAAATTCAGGCAAACTTTAGCATACAAACATACAGTGCATAATCAAAATGATTTAAAATTTAATACCTTGCAAAATAGCATTTAAAACTTTAATGCTTTTTAAGGGCCTTAAATTTATCTACGTTGATTTATCAACTTTTAATACTTTTTAAGAGCCTGCTGACACCCTGAATATAAAAACCTTATTAATATTAAAAATCAGAAGATTTAAAGTATATTTTGCACTGTATCCTGATTTCAGCTTCTGCATCGAGTGATCGCACTACCGCACAGTGCGTACCATTCATGTAGCAGACGCTGTTGTGTTTATACTTCTGCATTCTGTCAGTTGCTCTGCAATAACAACTCAAAAAATGCTTGTAGGCAAGTGGGGTTTCCATGCTCTAGTTTCAGTGTTCGAGTTTCTCTGCTGGTGTTTTGAGTTTATGCCAGAAATGCATGCAATGCTATTGTGGCATTGGCTCAAACTCGCACTCATTCAGTAACTAAAGAGGAGGAAACTGGAGAATGCTCAACTTAAATCGTAAAATAAATACAAAAAAGCATCAATCTGGAGCTCCTGAACAGGAGTTAAACACATACAAAAATACAGACTTAATTCACCCCAGTGTTCTTGGTCTCACCCGCACTACTTACAGCTACCAATGGACCCTTTTCACAAGACTGTTATGACACGTTTAATGGTCATCATAATCTTAAATCCTTGACAGTTTTTAATATTTTGATTTTTAAGAAATTGTATGAGCATTTATATGCTTCTATGTATGTATAATATCACCTTTGTGTCAAATTACACATAACTGAATTACAGATTGTGCGAGGCATTTCTAATGCTGCGTCTATGGGGCTGAGAGTACATGTGATGTTGTTCTCTCCTCTGGCTGCCGTTGTCAGTCTAACACTATTTTTTTTGCTGTTTCCGAAAGTCTTGATAACAGCATTTTGGAGTTTTTCTTTTATTAATTCAGCAAATAGGATTGTAAAAATGATTTGTTGTACTCTCCCATTTACTGCACTCTAAGTTTACCCAACTATGACAACTTCTGCTGCTGACAATCCTGGAAAAGTGAAAAGGGTCCGTCACAATTTTGCGCTCCACATGTTATTTTGAGAGTGTCGTATCGGAGTATGGCGAAGTGTGCGACTGTGTGAAGGCTATGCCTGACCTAATGCGTGAACTCAATGCAGAAGTATAAACGTTCGGTGTCCCATTCATTGTCTGTAATTCTTAATATTTTCTTGTAAATATTTATTGTTCTTTTTATATACATATCTTTGCACTTATTATTATCACTATCTTTGTAAATAAACTCACTTTATTGCATTTAGTTAGTCTTGGTATTTTGTCCCTCACTTGTTGATATTGTGTGTTTGCTTATGTGTTTCACGCAAAATAATGTTACTCTCCTTCGCCTTGACTGACCAGCTTTAAGGTTGTAACACTTACCAATGATTTTCTTTCCATGCTTCAGAAGAAGCTCTTCTATAACAGCTCCAAACTGCTCAATGGCTTTAACAGTCTGTAAGAGTGAAAGAGAAGGAGAATAAAAGTTTTTGGCCTGTAATCAACCTCTAAATTTAGGCTTTAACATGCTTGTTTTTGTTTAGCAGCTGTTTTAAAGTATTATTTTATTTAATGCCATCCAAGCGCTGTGGTTAATTTAATCTCACCAATTCTCCACTGTGGTTAAGCTCTGGATGAACGGTTCCCTGCAGCGTGAGTCCAGACCCCAAACCTGCCCTCCTGCCAGATAGAGAGATAACGAAAGATAAAGGCCAGGGGTTATCAAGCTGATGCAAACACATGACACTGCAAAACCAAACTAATGTCTTGCAGAAGTGTTATGAGAGATATGAAGGTCTAACCTCTTGGCTCGCTTTGTGATTTCACCCGCCAACATCCCAGCATTACCCAGGGGGTTTTTTAACGCTTTCTGCAAACTCTTCAGTTGATTGCCTGCATTCTAACAAAAAAAAAAAAAACACACACATACACAAATGTAATTCCTATACTGTCTTCACACTTGAGTGCTTGCAGTGGAAAACACCAAGACCAAAATGCAAGCAGATGTCAACAACCACACGTGCTGCGACTGGTAGGTGGTTTTGCAGAACAGGAAGCTGTGAGGCAGGCAGTTGTGTTCTGAGTTGTGTTTTCATTCCCCGTTTACCTGGAAGCCGTTGAGAGCTACGAACAGGCGCAGGATGTCATTGGTCCCCTCGAATATTCTGAAGATTCGCAGGTCCCTCAAAACCCTTTCCACACCAGCGTCCTGCAACACAACATGTTAAACTGTGAGTGTGAGGCAAATGAGAATGTAAAGTGTCATCAAACAAATCAATTCATTATTTTGGTCAAGTTCCCCGAGGGAAATTACCCAATACATGAGAAAAGCTTCATGATGGGGAAAATAAACCTTGTAAATTAAAAAGAAGGTGTCTTAAGCTCTCTAAAGCTGCAATTATGAGTTAAAAGATTAATATTTACATGTAGACAATGGTTAAGTTGTCATGTGATCAGTTTATAAAATATTGGTATTAATAATGTTATTCTCAATGTTGCTTAACGTTTTGGTGGAAACTGTATTCCTTGTTTAATTTTCAGAATCTTTTGATAGGTAAAGTTCAAAATAACAATTAGTTTAATCTTTTGTAACAATATAAATATCTTTACTGCCATGGATAATTGATTTAAGCATCTATTTTACCCCTTTTTTAATATTTAAGCAAATTCTTTTATGTCTTCAGAATGTGTCTGTAAAGTTTCAACTCAAAACACCCTTAGATTATTTATTATACCTTTATGTACATTGGAAATTTGAGCTGTGAAGACATCGTAGCTGTTTTTGTTGCCTGTGCTTTTAATGCAAATGAGCTGGTTCTCCCCGCCCACTGATCCCTCGCAAGTGTCAAGAGGCAGGGAGATTGCTCACTATCGCTCTGATGGGTGTAGCCTTTTCCTTCTGCGTCTCGCGCATAAGCAGCACAGTGACAGACAAGAATGATCTCACTTACTACAGAAAGGGCTTTACCAGCGGTTATTTGATTTATGTAGTTATTTCAAGCCTTTCTGCAACGATGAGTCTCACACAATGTTGTTACACACATACACAAACACCCCCCCCAAACACACACACACAATTAGCTTTGCACTGTTTTTGTGACAGGATATAGGTTAATATCCACTGCTGCATGCACATCTGTCATAGTAATGTACAAAATAAACCTGATTTAAGTCCACAAACTGGGATTGAAGCGTCTTCTTTTATAATTGTACTGACACTAGGCGGCTTTGTCTATTACAAACATGCATTGCTTTAAAAACATTTTAAACTTGTAAAACTCATACTCAAGGTGCAGATGAACACAGAGAACTGAGATCTTTTAATCCCGGTTGCTTTGAAGATGTCCTGTCTTGTGGATATGATTATACGTGTTACTTTGGAGACATGTTAATATGCTGTCAATCAATACGGTAAGCAGTGAAGCCCTTCATTAGCATAAAACACTTACTTTATAATGAAATCTTACTCCTATTACTTATTATTGGATATCTCACACATTTTTATTTCACTTTCCTTTAATGCACGTTATATTAAAATATAAAAATAAGTGCAGCTGAGAGACGTGTGGCTTCGATTTTGTTTGATTTGACTAAGAACCCACAAACGTGAGATACTGACAAAATGATGAAAGACTTCTCTGGAAATGAGTCCGACTGCTCATCTTGATCACTTTCTGCATCAATTTGCATAAGCAAGAACCTTCAGGCTGGAAAAACGACTAGTACACTAGCGCAAATGTGGCATCCCAACAGCCATGAGAAAACATTAAAACAGCCACACAATCGATGTGAAGACATGACCTACATTCAGCACAGCCCAACTTTAGCTGTCTATGGTTTGAGACGGAAAGGTTAGCGCAGCTGTGTCCTCCCCTCGCTAACCCACTGCGCCTTTGCAAGACTCCTCCAGTTTTTCCACCAGTGCAAGACAAGAGCATTCAGGCCTTGAGAAGGGGGACTGAATGTGCACACACAGTAGGTGTTTTTCAGTGCTCACACTTTGAGTCACAGTGCACAGACTAAAATGTTGCAACTTTATTGTGCCAAAATTAGACTTTCAACCTGAGAGACCTGACAGAGTGAGGTATCTAAAAAGAAACCGACAAACCTCTGAACTAAGAATAGACCTATATTTGTCTGTCTTGACAACATTTGCTGACGATGTGAACATTAATTTATGTGGTAGATCCAAACTAGAGAACAACCTACAATTTCATGATAGCTACTTTGTGCTATTTGATTATTCCAAGCATATTCTAGGCATATTTTATCAGTTATTTTTGTGTTCTGATTCACGAAATAAAGTCTACATAAAATAATTTTTGAATATTTGTTGAATATTATTTATTGACTACCTACTATAAGAATGTGATAACTGGGTATAGTACAACTAATAGTGAGAGTTTAGGGCGTGACCAAAGACTATAGAATAAACAAGACATGTCACTCGTATTGTTTTGAATGGGGAAAATTCTTAAATCTTAAAGGGACTTTGGCATGGCTACTATGGGAGGCAAGCTGAGCCAGAGGGTGATTAGTCAATTTAGCATCATGTCTAATGCGTAATCTGAAAATTTTAATTTACACTAAAATGTTTTTACAAGCTTGTGAAATTTTATAAAATGTTTTAGATGTCAAATTTATTAATGTTACCTGTTGAGAGGAAACTTGACTAAAGTTTTTACAATACTTGCTAGTTCTTCACTGTTAAGGAGCACCTATGATGAAAATTAACTTTTGTGAGCTGTTTGGACAGAACTGCATGTAGGTATAGTGTGTCCACTGTCATATTGGAGTGACATAAACGCAACAAGTCTCTATTTTTCAAATTTACTGATGTTAAAATAGGATCTAAATTCCTGCATGACGCGCATATATTTATTTATATATATATATATATATATATATATATATATATATATATATATATATATATATATATTAGCACTGTCAACATTAACGCGTTAACGCATGCGATTAATTTTAAATAATTAACGCGTTAAAAAAATTAACGCAATTAACGCAGTTGCAGGTTTTTTTACTTCCTGTTGTGGTGGATGTGTGTTCAACATGCAATAAATGTGGATAAGACCAAGGAAGCACTTTTTGAAGGCAAGTTTCAGTATAAAACAATTAATCGCATCACCAGGCTCTCCAAAGTTACATGCAATTTCGGGTGTTTCATTTTTAACTTTCGAGTTCTGTTGTAAGTTGATACCGCATGGCGAACAGAAAGAAAATCCTCTGCATTTCGTGACTCTGTGTTCCTTTAAGGTAAGGTTCCTTTTAAGGCTACACGGTAGAATTTTAATAAGAGTATTATCTTAATCATATTAAAATCGGAGTATTGGTGTCTTATGTGAATGTACTCAGAATGTCTCTGGTGAAGTCGCGAGCTGTCAAAGACAGGGCATTACTCTGCCGTTTAACATGAGCCCTCCAAGTTTAGCGTGTTTCCTCATTAAACGAAACGAATCGTTGTGAAATACAATAATACTTTAGGACGCTTAGTTTAAGCCATAGATATATACACTAGATGTCGCCTGGCCTATTGTTGTCTATTGGACGGAATGCGTCAATAGCGCCGCCATCTTGCTACAGAGTAGCACTCCTTTGAAATGAATGCGGGACCAATGGACAGTGGAGGACTGTGGCCATCCAAAGCCAGAGATATACACATATACTCATATATCTATGATGGGGAGTTTTCCTGGATGTTAGTATGTATTTTTTTTCTAATTACGAAAATTATAATTTTACATCACTTTTCTACATTGATGGATCAGTGACCGCACGGGCATTCCTGACATAAAGCTTGTGTTTGTGTGTACAGAAATTTACTATTCACCCTCCCTGTTAAATTTGATCTAATCAGGTCCTGAAACACAGCTCCTCTCCTGCTTTCACTTCTCATACTGATGGAGGGAGTGATTCGTTTGTGAATGAATCTCCCAAACGACTCTTTCACTAACGTTAGCCGACAATAATACATGTTTCTGGCAGTGCAGCATCTCGTTGTCATATTTTTTTTGCATTGTTTGCTGATTTTATTCAACAAAACTAGCATAAGCCGAGTGTTTAGTGCGAGTTGGAGCTTCTTTGTCTTATGGTGAATGCAGTAATAAGTGACTGTTATCATCAATAACGCTACCTGATTAGCACAAAAGTTCAGAACATACAAAAACAGAAAAAACTTAATATTACCTATGAAATGTTCAGCCTTTGTGCTTTGATTTCTTTGTTTGCTTGTTTCTACACCCGTAGACAGCGCTAAAGTCCTGCATCTTCACGTAATAACACTGTATTGACTAGTGCGGTTGAATGACATTTGTCCTGGGAGCACTGTAGCAATGTGGCGGCGCCATTGACGCATGCTCAGGGTCCCTATGCGATATCTAGTGTATATATCTATGGTTTAAGCAAATTTGATGAACGTGATCATGCGTGTTGAATCTGAGGGGAGTCGCTCCAGTATGGAAGGCCGTTGGGGCCAAAACGTCTGCAGCGCGTTGTGTGTGTGTCTGTGTCAGGCCCATTGAGGGGTGTCAGGGGTGGAGTGAGCGACGTATCCTAGTAGGGGCGAGAGGGGTGTGCAATGTATTTAACGACCGGTTTGCAAGAAATTGTCATTCATTTGCGGGCATTTGGGAGTCTCTGTGCACTTGCGGGATACTCCTAGGCTTAGCAACTGGATGAATGTAAAGGAGAATTAAGCAAAAAATTTTCTACTCTATAACTAATGTTCTCAACTCACAGCAATAAAACTTTACAATGAGTGCAACAGTTTGTATTCTATAGTTTATTATTATAATTTTTCTTTTTCCATATCTGCAATTCCTGTATTTTGGCATTTTTTTGCAGTCCACTTAGAATCCAACATGGAAATCAATGTTTTCTTTATTGGCATTGATTGTTTTGAAATTTAAATGTCATTAACATGCCTGTGTTTTAATTTCTTTAATAAATATGGCTTTCAAGCCAGGATCTTGATGGTTTATTGTGGGTATGTTGTTTACATGAAGAAATCTGTTACAAGTTAAACAAAAATTCTATTAAACAATTATATTTTGAATTTAAATGTTTTTTGTCTTGTGTTTACATTAATTTTACATTTAAATAGCCAAAATTACAAGTTTCAGTATTTTAAATGTGATTAATCGCGAAGAATTTTTTTAAAAAGGTGCGATTAATTAGTTAATTTTTTTTATCGATTGACAGCACTAATATATATATATATATATATATATATATATATATATATATATATATATATATATATATGTGTATGTGTGTGCATGTGTGTGTGTACTGCAAATGATATTTGTGTGAGACTTATTTCAGAAAGGCTTGAATAAACCACACCACAAATAAACTTGATATTTTTGACTTGTGACCTTATTTCAGCTTCATCTGTGTTTGTTCTACCACTGAATGCTGTGTATCTGACGTAATGCATGAGAAGCAGACATGCATGTCAGAACGGTGGGCGGAAACAAGTAGCTTATTTGGAATTACAGCCACAGGCTACAAAACAACCACATTGTCATCAGACAGCAAAATGGGCAGATTCTACAATATATAATAAATAATCTGACAGGTCATTTTAAAACTTAACAGACACATTCTGGAGACACCAAAGTCTTATCTTACATCTTGTAAAAGAGGTAAAATAGGTGTCCTTTAAGTCCTATAAACACACCAAGATGTAAGATGTAAGAATGTAAGATAAAAATTATCTTTAGGATATACATTAGTGCAAGGGATGTTTGCAAAGGTGGATAATTAAAAATATGCTTTATTTTTCTGCAGGTAATCTGGATGACACTGGTCACACGAGTAAAGTTGACAAGTGGAAATTAAAAAGATCAAGTCAGAATGTATATTAGGGTGCTTTCACACCTGTGAATCGATTCAGTTGTTCCGAAACAGAGATTAAAATTGTTACATTGTTGCTCTGCTCTTGGAGCGGTTCGCTTTCACACTGCAACGTTTCTAATCGGACCAAAAGAGCTAAAACAAGTCACATGCGAGTAAACTCTCCTTACATTGGTCAGAGTGTCAGGGTTTATTTTGCAGCGTCCCGCTCAGCTGTCAGGAGAGGTGGTGGTTTGGTGGTGATTGACAGGGTGCGCGCGCGTGACGTGTCTGAGGAGAGACGCAGTGGGGAGGGGTGAGAAGGGTGCGCGGCGATGCCTATTTGAGGACCGGAGGGAGACGCGAGATTACCGGGAGATCATCACTCGTTTGCGGGCATCCGGAGACTCGCGAAACTTCCCGCCATACTCATAATTCTCTCTTCATATAGCCGTAAGCCTATTACATATCCATAAAACACTGTGATATAACCGCGCTCGGATCGGATCGCTTTCTCACTGCAATCGAACCGCTCCAGGGTTCGTTTTAATCGAGCCGAGACTACCTCATTCAAGCGATCTCGGAGCGATTACTTTGGCGTGGAACAGAGCGCGATTGCCCTGTTCACATATGCCAATCGAACCGCGCTAACTGGGCAAACGAGATACGTTCCGAAACAAAAGTGTAGGTGTGAAAGCACCCTTAAATGTAATATACAAGTGCCACTTAAATACCAGAGCTATTGACCAAAATCAAGGGCCCAAAAGTTGGAAATGTGTCTTTTTCTATTGAGAAATTTATATACTTTACGTTTTAAATTAGACACCAGTGAGAAAAGTAAAGGTTATTTGTAGATATTGTCAAATCTGCAAACTGTACAGATGCCCTCTGTTTTTTTAACCATGCATAAAATGTCTCAGCAGTTTGATATACTTCAGTTTAATATAATTTTGTACAGCGCTCAGAATAATTGAGCACACCTCTTTTTGAAAATGAATATTTTTTTAATTTACCAGTAAATATGGGTCATATATTTTAGTGCATTTGAACAAAATGGATTTATTAAATATATTTAAATATTATTAAAATAATATTTTACACCAAACATAAAATGGAAACATAATATATTTAAAATCATGCAAATATAGGAAAACAAAGTTACAAACTAGAAAAACTTTAAAACTTTATAATTTTTATTTGCTTTTCTTTATTTTTCCTCTTTTAAAAATGTGTTTAATATTTTGCCCTCACATATAAATTTGGGTGCACTTGTTTTTGAACCGCTATCAGAAGTTATTTTGTCAGATAAGCTCCAGATTTGGCTTCAGTACTGACTAATCTAATGTATATGCACAAATATATTATTGTAAAGCTTCCTATAGATAATATTAAGGGGTGTACTCATACAGTATATCCTGAGCACTGTATTACTTTGTTTGTCCAGAAGATATGAGTGTTGAATGAGTTTTACAGTCAGGAAAAAAAAAAAAAACTACTGAAAGCAATAACTCTAGACACAATGTGCTACAGGAATAACAGCTATTAGGTCAAGTTAAAAAAAGGGCAGTGTTTGTGAAAAGTTGAGTCAACTAGAGCAACTACTCAGTCAAAAGTGTAACATTTTTAATGAAATGCATTGTGTATTTCCTGTTTCGCCAGAGAAGGTAAATGTCATACTTCTGCAAATGACTGAAATTGAAGCCTTAGTTGCAGCAGAGAAAGAAATCAGACTTTGTTTTTTATTAGTACTTTATGTTACATTATTGTAGTTGACTTAGTTTTTATTGTGAATTTATGTATGTTTATATTAATTTATATGATATTTTTCCATAAAAAGCCTTTATGTGATTCATTCATTTCATTCACTGTCATTTTGTGGTTTCAATTTATTTTATTTTTAGTTTGAAATATCAGTTTAGGATTTAAAAGAAGTATAGACTTGCCACTGATACAATAAAAAAATACAAAAAATACCCAAGTCAATACTGCAAGTCATTGAAGACAGAAATGGACTACATATTTGTTGTCGTTCTTGAATGGTTGGAAGCAAGTTATTTAAATAGAATTCTGAGAAATTAAAGAGGAAATCTCTCCCTTTGAATATTTCCAAAACAAATTCACAGTGTTGACCAAATGAAAAGAGATTTTTTCGTGTATGTGTGTGTGTGTATCATGCTTTATGCATTTCATTTTTTGTTTGTACCTTTCCAAGAAGGATTAAACATCACAAAATATATTTTAAACAAAACATGCACAATACAATACGCTTGTATCATGCGGTGGCCATTTTAAAGAACGAAAGCGAGGCTGCGGTGAGAAGAAACCCGGAAGTATAGGATCAGCACTGTAAACATGCTGTGGACTACAAACCTCCAGCTGTTGCCGTGATTTCAAAATGCAGATATGGTGTAAACATCACTTTAATCTCATTCAGGTAAGTTTAATTTAAACAATTAAAAGCAAATTAAGCATCAAAAAACATCACAATCTCTTTAAGAGTAATTCGTTTAAGTGTCCTCAGGCTTCAATTCAGGGCACCAGGTAAACACCTTTAGGACGCTTCCCTGCTTCAGCCTATGTAACCCAGTAAGCAATAAAACACTGCAGTCCTCTGTAGCACGCCCTTGTGTTGTCTGTAATAACCGAGTGCAAACACAGATACACAGACACTGGAGCATTTTAAAGCTGCGAAGATCAGTCGAGCCATCAGAGGATTGCTCCTCTGTGTTTGCACTTGGCAAACATCGGTGAACTGCATTGAACTGATGACCTTTACAGTCAATCACAGTCATTTCTGTTGAGCACTGGTTAACACAATGGCAAATCAGTGGTGTTTGAGAACACAATCAACAGTGCTTTAAATGTTAGCAACAAATTGACTTTTTTTTCCAGTTTCATGACAAGTCTAATATAGTGAAAATCTCTTCATTAACTTGAGATTGATAAATGGCATCTAAAACGCATGTTTGGGGAAAAAATACATTAGCCAACTGGTGCCATTTCACTTCACTTTGCTGAAAATGAGGTGTGATATCCCTTTTTATTTTCACTATTTATTTAGAATGGATATTCGGGCTCTCAGAAGGTGGTAAAATGCTAAATTTGTGTCACTTTCTCTTCGCTGATAAGATATACAGCCAGGTACACAACGTTCCTGTGTGACTCCAGGAGATACTTCAGAGTTTCCTCCCACCGCAGCCTCAGTTTCGCTTTTAAAATGGCTGTCGCATGAAATCAGTCAATAAACAAAAAATATTTACCTTCATGAATCCCATTCCTCCCATAACCTGGATGCATTCGTCAGTTACCAACCAGGCTGCTTCCTAGAATATCCAGAGAGTAATATAGCCAATTTGTGCATTCTTTATAAACACAACAAACCACATTAACAATCTGATGCACAAAGTTCTCTTCATGTGAATGTAGGTTGCAATAACAAAAACTAGTACAACTGGGTTAATCAATACGTTGAGTACTTACAGAGGCAAAGATTTTACTGATGGCCGCCTCAATCTGGAACTCCGTGGCTCCACTGTCCATGTTCCCACTAACCATGTAGGCCATTGACTAAATCCATAGAGAAAAGATAAATGGAGTGACAAAAAAAGAGAGAGGGGTCACTGTTAATAATGTTTAGAACAAACAAACTGCTTAATGTAATGGAAAACAGACATGGAAAGAGAACAGATGGGAAATGGACTGTTTTATTTTTGTACTTTGTTCGCACGTGACACACTCAATAACACAGAAATTAGCAGGAAACTTCCACTTCCCCCAAGTCATGTGGAAGAAACACATTTATGAAATGAGCACTGCGAGAGTGCGAGTAAAAGCGCTGGATTCTGCAAAGAGCATTAAGTGCTTGTTAACTATTTGATGTCGATCATCTTGAGTAAATTTACTTCATGTGTTTGATCAAACAAATGTTATATTTACAAAAGTCTATAAATAGATGCTGTTCAGAACATTCAGAAACTTCCTTGTTCTAAGCTCACCTCTGTCACATACTGCAGCATGGCCATTCTTGCCATTTTTTCCTGAATAGCTCCATAATTGTGGATCTTGTTGCCAAACTGGGTCCGGTTAGCAGCATGATCGACCTGTGTGAGAGGAAAGAAGAGAATTATAGGGACTGATTTATTGAACTGTCAAAAAATGTTCTTAAAGAGGCAGCACGAAGGCTTAAGACTGGTTTATACTCGATGCATCCGCTAGTTCGATTGAGTGTTCGCGGCGAATGTGACGTCATCGTGGAGTTTGTAGAGGTTCGCATTGGGTGCGCGCAACATGATTTCAACCGGCGGAACGCATGATTTTTTTTGAGACGAGCGAACAGAGCGCCGCATTTGATTTGAGTTGAATATGAAACATTTTGAAAAGATTTTGTCTGAAACAGGTACGCCTGTACAGACAACTTTACGATTCGTGATCATAGAGATAACCAGATGATCAATAATTATTGGCTAGAAATTGCAACAGCCATGGGAAAGGAGGAAAGTTTTTGTTAAAAGGTTTGGAAAAACCTGAGGGATATGTTTGTTAAAGCCAAAAGAGGCCATGGCAAAAGTGGAGACCCAGGTACACAATTACGGAAACATGTTTTTCCATCATTTATAGGTTTTACACTGATGTATATATTACAATTTTATATTTAAAACAATTTAATAATTACAAAACTATAATGAAGGAACAAATTATTTCTTTGATTACTGGAAAGGAATATTTAAACCGGTTTACTGATGGCCTGTTTTTCTAGGTTTTATTGGTGATAATGGTCCGGAATGTTGGGCCATTACTGACTTTTTATCATAAGGGGACAGAAACTAGCCAGACAGTAATGTGTGAATTGTGGAGTGGGCTTAATAAAAAATTTTTTTTTTTAAAAATCTGTCAGTACTGTTTTCAGTAAGTGTACATTTTTGCTTTTATTCTTGCCATAATAAAAAACAAATAATAAAATATATATTTGTAGAGCAAACCATTTTCTCTTGTTATTAATATTTTAATAAACTTTAGTAGGTAAAACTGTCCTAGATTTGAACAAAAGCAAGTGATGCATCGAAGTTTAAGTTAAAAAATTCTTGAATGGTTATAAAAATCCTTATAATCATTAAAATAATTTATGAAACCAATAAAAATATTTCGTTTAAAAATATTAAATGAGATTAATGATATGATGTATTTCCGGAAATGTCCTACTTCTCTGTTTCTCCGTCTGATTTTACGGTTTATTTCTTTTGACCGCCCCCTGTCGTTTTAAAGAATATCACAACGCAGAACGCAGCAAGTATAAAAGGCTCGTTTGTTTTGCGAGGTGTGAGCGCAGTCAGCGGATGTGCGCTATG